CAGTGACCAGAGTCACACAATCCATTGACAAAACAGGAGTTGGAGCCGCAGCCCATGCCATGGCCATCCAGGTCTTTCAAGTTGGTGGCATTGTCCTGTTGGCGCTTAGTACGGTTGCCCAGACCGTGGTGCCTAATGACATGGTGCAGCGATTTGATGAAACACGACAACGCATGGTGGGTGGACCCCGCGAGGCACGTGGCAGCGTCAATCGGCTCATGAGCTGGGGTTTTATCCTTGGGATATTGCTGGGGTCCCTCCAAATTCTGTTGCTTCCACTATTGCAGAAAGTGACGCCTTTGCAAGAAGTCCGTGAAGCTGCTCGAGTTCCCTCCTATTTGGCAAGTCTGTATCAGATTATCAATGGCTTGGTCTTTATTGGTGAGGGCGTGATGGTAGGCACTGGTAGCTTCATGCAGCTGTCCCTGGGTACAATTGTCGCTACTGCTGGGTGCTTGTGGGCACTGAAGACCTTTCCTCCAATCTTTGGGCTGACAGGAGTTTGGATGGGATTTGGGGTGTTCAATGTGCTTCGACTAATAGGTGTCGCAATCCACCAGTTCTACAATGGTCCTTTGAGCCTGCGAGTTCTCAAACAAAAAGAGGCATTGGAACAGCCAGCCATTAGCTAGCTAACCAACTAAACTTGGTTGAAAGCTGTTGCACTCCTTTGCTCTTTCTTCAGTCTTTCCGTGCTGGGACTGAGACGACGGATCTACTGGTGATCTTGCAAATCAAAGAAATCCATGCATCAAATGGAAGGATATTAGCTACTAGTAGTTAAGTTTTACTGGCTGTCCCATCCATAACATGCAATACCAGGTAGTAGTTCGTTGATTGTTTATTTATTGCACATAATCCCATCGTGAAGCCGATCGCAGGATGTTCGTCCTCAGGTTTTTGGTATCCTTTTTTCGTTTAAAGTAATTTCGATACAAGCGGCTGCAAATGTTTTGGTACACTCGTGGTTGTCATCCCAATAGAACATGTCCGCAATGGCATTGATTTCTTGCAGTAGGGCTATCCGATCAATTGTCCCGGGTGTGTTGCGTGCCGGTTGGCTTTCGCGTCTGGGCGGTTCGGCGGGTTTATGGGGAGTGCGAGTGACAATCATGTCATTATTTTTGTTTCGAGTAATGTTGTAGCCACCCGGTGGAAAGTGCAGTTCCATGTATAGTTCGTCCCAGCCGGCCTTGGCAATATGTTTCATGGAATCCCATTCAGCCCCTTCGACATCGACTTTGAGAATGGTCAATTTGGAATTTCCAATTTCCTTCATAATGGTGGGTAGTGACTTTAATTTCCACGGGAGTGTATTGAATTCTTGCAAATAGTCCAATCCGGGCCATCGAAAGGGGACCTTTCCTGGTCCATAGTCCTTGTCGACAACTCCCAATCCGTAGGAATGATAATGGGCTCGTTGGACTTTTTCGTATTCCTTTTGCGACTGCAACCCTGCCGGACTGGGATCAAAGCCGTGGACTTGACAGCCTTTATTGGCAAAAAAGTGATCAAAACTGAAATTGTCGCGAATGCCAAAGGAATAAATCACACAGTCCTTCTCGGGAATAGTAGTTTGGGCATCACAAATCCACCAACCGCCATCTTCCACATCTCCGGCCCGTATCCTATTCGGACAAACTTCTTGTTGGTTGCGCACGACAAGGCTGTAGTCGTAGGAAGAGGGTGGAGTCATGATGGTAACATACAGGAGTGCCACACCTAAAACAGAAGCAGCCGCTGCCACCAGTGCCTGCTTGTTCTGCTTCACAAACGCCACGGCAGGTGCTGGAATTTCCATACCCAACAGCATTTGCCGCTTAGGATTATCGTCGCATTTGCTGGACATGATGAATATTTAATCAAACCTAATTTAAAATGGATAGATTGAGGAAGGAATGAATCTATCAAAGCAAGCAAGAGCTTCAGGGATCTCGTGGGTTTGCTCTTCGATTGTGAGAACGACGATGGACATGGGTTTGCTGGATGAATGCTGGTTTTCGATGGATCCAATTTCTTGGAGGTATCTTTTTCCACCTCCCTTATAACCAGTATCAAGCCAGCTCTGTCAGCTTACGATCGAATCCCTCAACCGCTTCGCCGCGAAAACCCAATGCGGATCCATAATTCGCACAACAGCTTTCAAGCTCTGCCTCTTCGTCGCCCCATACATCAACATTGACCATGTCTTCATCTGATCCTGACACTGTGGCTGGTACAACCGGCGCTACCAGTGCCACCAGTGCTATCACTGCTGCTAACAAAATGCAACGATTGCCCCCTCCAATCGAGTCATTGTTGGAGCAAAAAGATATTTGGACTGGTGGTATCTTGCCATTTCTGGGTGTAGGACACTATGCCTTTGTGGGAGGAGTCAACAAACAGTTCAACCAACTCTACAAGGCTTACTGTGATTCCATAGGGGGTCCTTGTCATACAACCAGTGACAGAGCTGCATTCTTCAACGTCTCCTGTGCCAAATACTGGGATGTGGACGATGACACATGTGAAACTCCCTTTCGTGACCGAATTTGCGAATTAATTGCCAAAGTGGGAAGTGTCCATGTTATGCAATGGGCACACAAGGAAGGGTTTCCATGGGATTCTACGACATGCTCTGCTGCAGCCAGAAATGGTCATTTGGACATTTTGAAGTATCTTCATGAAAATGGATGCCCCTGGGACACTATGGGGTGTGCTGCTGCTGCTACTGAAGGAGGGCATCTTGACATTTTGAAGTATGCTCACCAACATGGTTGTCCATGGGATGACTCGTCCTGCCGAGCTGCTGCCAGCAATGGTCATTTGGGTGTTTTGAAGTATCTTCATGAAAATGGGCGTCCCTGGGACGAAGAGGTGTGTGAGGCTGCTGCTAGAGCAGGGCATCTTGACATTTTGAAGTATCTACATGAAAATGAGTGTCCATGGGATAGCTCGGCCTGCCAAACTGCTGCCTGCAACGGCAATTTGGATGCTCTGAAGAATCTTCATGAAAATGGATGCCCCTGGTCCCCTCGGACATGCTACGTGGCTGCTCTATATGGTCAGTTGGATGCTCTGAAGTATTCCCATGGAAATGGGGCCACCTGGAATGAAAATGTATGTCGTGCAGCTGCCAAAAGGGGTCATCTTGACAGTTTGAAGTATGCTCATCAACAAGGTTGTCCGTGGGATGAAAATGCATGTTTGATGCTGCACTCAAAGGACATTTGGATGTTTTGAGTTGCCTTCATGAAAATGGGTGCCCCAGGGCCCGCCGGGCAACTGCTGCTGCTGCTACAGGCGGGCATTTGGACATTTTGAAGTATCTACATGAAAATGGGTACCCCTGCGATGAAGAAGTATGCCGAGCGGCTGCCAGGTGTGGCAATTTGCAGATTCTGGTGTTTTCCCATGAAAATGGGTTACCATGGAATGAACTGGCATGCCGTGATGCTGCTCGAAAGGGACATTTGGATGCTCTGAAATTTCTACATGAAAATGGGTGCCCCTGGAACCAATGGACATGCTCTGCTGCTGCTGGAGGTGGGCATCTGGACATCTTGAAGTATGCTCATGAGCTTGGCTGTCCCTGGGATGCATCCGCATGCAATGAGGCTGCTAGTCATGGAAAGTTGGAGATTCTAAAGTATCTACATGAGCATGGCTGTCCTTGGGACTCAGACACAGTCGGTGCTGCTGTTGGCTGCATGTACGGGTGTGCGGAAATGCTAAAGTATCTGCATAACAAGGGGTGCCCAGGGTTGGAGGACTACTTCGATGGTGAGGATCTTTTGGACGAGTACCGGTACATGTAATAGGATCAGTAGCGATACCAATGACAACAATAACAGCACACTAAAAATAATAAAAAAGTTTACTTTCTACAGGTCTACCTCTTTCTCTTTCGCCTCCACTTGTACTGAGCGGGCATTCCATCTTCTGTTTTGCCCTTTACTTTTCGTTTGCGTCCCTTTCCGGCCACCAATTTTTCCGTGACCAAATGTGCTTCTGCCCGTTCCATGGCTCTGGCTCTTTGGGAGCGTGCTTCGAATTCCGCATAGGCTTGAGACCGTGCCTTGGCGGCTATTCGTGCCCTTGCCCGCTGTTCCTTTTTTTGTCGTTTGAGATCCTTTTGGGAGATGGGTGCCTCATCATCATCATTGTCTTGTTGTTGTTGACTCGCTACTAGCTGTGCATGTCGTGGTCGATTGAACGTCCTTTCGACAAGTTCGGGTGCCGTATCAAAGTGTTTGGCAGCATCAAACTCGTCCGCTTGTTGTTTGGATTGTACAAAAATAGTGTGTTTGGATGCTGTCTTGGTCATTCCAATGAGATGCAGTGATTCCTTCAACTTTTGTGCCTTGGTTCCATCTCGTTGTTTTTGCAGTCGCACATACGCCAAATCTTGACTCTTCATGACCCGGACCGCTTCAGGGCCAATAGTATCACTGAATTTTTCATTGCGGGTTTCTTCTGTCATTTGATGTCCTCTGGTATCCGTCACTTGTGCTTTGTGCATTCCAAAATAGAATTCGTCAGGATTTCGCATGGCCGCTTTTTCCTTCAGATTTCGAAGTCGATCTTCTTGTGCGTGATAATGAACGGCACGTTTCTTGTAGTCACCATGTTTCTCCAGTAACCCCAAATGAGAGCGAGCTTGTGGTTGAGACCGCTCCTTGTGCGTGATGCGTTTCACCGCATTGCGAAGAGAGGAGCCCGGCATGGTGGATGATGGATGAAGAAAAAGAGACGGAAATCAGCCAAAAGGGCGTTGAAAGGAAGGTATATGGGTATCCGTGAGTTCCTTCAGGAAGACTAGCTAGCCTTCCTCCTCTATTTAGAATAGAGAACCAGTTGCTTCCTCAGTGTACCAATAGCCGTCGTCCTAACTAAAGAGAGGGTATCATCGGCTATAATAATGCGCTACGAACAGTGGAACAGTGGAAACAATAATTTCAAAGAAAACACGTGAAAAAGGATTGGATGCAAAGAATCTTATTAGAGCGCAGGATAATCGGAAAAAGACAGCTGGGCTGATAGAATACTAGTAAACCTTAACCCAAGCGTATTTCGAAACAATTTTAGTAAGCGGTAACGTCCCACCGTCCCACCACAAGAAGACAACAAGAGCCAAGAAGAAAGAAAAGCTGCCCTCGGCTCGTGTTCAATTTCGATATCTGAAAGAAACAGGATGTAGGTGCCGTCGCCATGGCGTTCTGTCTGTCTAGAGCTAGCAAGTTGAGGTGTTCTATCCGAGAAGTGCCCTTATCATGAGCACGGTTATCTGACCTTTTTCCCTCCACCCTTTTTGGTACCCTTTTAGGTCTCATCGTAAATTCGAAGCTCCCCGTCACGGCTCTCTGGGTTTCTTGCCCAAGAAGCGCACCAAGCACCATGCTGGTCGCATCAAGTCCTTCCCCAAGGACGATTCGGGTGAAAAGCCTCACTTGACTGCTTTCCGTGGATACAAGGCCGGTATGACCCACGTCGTCCGTGGTGTCGACCGTCCCGGTGCCCTCATGCACAAGCGTGAAGTCGTCGATGCCGTCAGTATCGTCGAGACTCCTCCCATGGTCGTTGTCGGTGTTGTTGGATACGTCGAAACCCCCAGCGGTCTTCGCACTTTGACCACTGTCTTTGCCGAGCACTTGAGTGAAGAATTCAAGCGTCGTTGCTACAAGAACTGGTACAAGAGCAAGAAAAAGGCATACACCAAGTACGCAACCAAGTACCAAAAGGATGGAGGCAAGGAAATCGAGGCCGAACTCGATCGCATTCGTAAATTTGCCACTTCTGTGCGTGTCATTGCTCACACCCAGGTCAAAAAACTCGGACTTCGCATCAAGAAGGCTCACATAATGGAAATCCAAGTCAACGGAGGAGATACTGCTGCCAAGGTCGACTTTGCCAAGGATCTCTTTGAAAAGGAATTTACCTTTGATACCATCTTTGCCAAGGACGAGCAAATTGATGTTATTGGAGTTACCAAGGGTAAAGGATTTGAAGGAGTCACCACTCGTTGGGGTGTCACCCGTTTGCCCCGTAAGACCCATCGTGGTCTTCGAAAGGTTGCCTGTATTGGATCATGGCATCCTGCCCGTGTCTCCACCACCGTCCCTCGTGCTGGTCAAAACGGATACTTCCACCGTACTGAAATGAACAAGAAGATCTACCGCATTGGAAAGAAGGGAGATGAAGCCAGTTGTCAGACCGAAACTGATTTGACCAAGAAGGGTATCACTCCCATGGGTGGATTCGTCCACTACGGTGAAGTCAATGAGGACTGGGTCATGCTCAAGGGTGCCATTGTTGGTGTCAAGAAACGCCCCGTCATTCTTCGCAAGAGCATGATGAAGCATTCTTCCAGAAAACATTTGGAAACCATCGACATCAAGTTCATCGATACCAGTTCCAAGCAAGGTCATGGCCGCTTCCAGACCAAGGAAGAGAAGGCCAAGTTCCTTGGGCCTTTGGCCAGCAAGGCCACCCAGTAAGAATATTACTATCATTAACTTTAGTATTACAATTACTGCAATTGCCATCTTTGTCGTAGATTGCTTGGCGTGCGGCTGCATAATTGACGGCCAGTTGGTCTCGCAACCAGACCAAGTGAGTTCCTTGTCCGTTTTAAAAGACCAATTAGTGGGGATCAATAACTTCAGTAGTTCTAGCTAACTAGCAGGATACTGTACTACAACTGCCATGCTAGCTAGTTGTAGATTGCTTAGGTCATTTCGTGGGGTTGCTTCGTTGCACAGCAAGGTCGTTATACAGCTTACTCACATTCTGAACATGGGTACGACGTGAGTTGGTGTTTGACTATGCTGGGCAAACAATTCATCGAGTTTGTCACGTGGAGGCATCTCTCCCAACTTGGAGCCCACTTCCTCACGATGAACCCCACCCACAACAAACACACTAGCAATTCCCGCCGCATTGGCTCCTGCAATATCGTGATGGAGACTATCGCCAACATGCACCACTTTGTCCTTGGGCAGCCCAATTTCTCGGACACATGCCTCAAAGTGTGCTGCATGAGGCTTTCCAAAACTGGTACAGGAACCACCTAGCTCCTCATACTTTTTGGCAAGCTTTCCAGGCATGTGAGCATTGGTGCCATCCGGTCGAACCATGATAAAATCCGGATTGGCACAGACCATGGGTAGGTTTCGTGCGGCACATTTTTTCAGCATGGGTTCAATGACCGAAGACATGTCGCCGGTTTGCATGTATCCATCCAAACTGGTTTCATCGCCATTCGGACCCAGCAAAACTTGCACTCCATGCAAGAGCACAAAATCTGCCTCCTCTACGGAATTTGTCGGCTGTATACCGCCGCATTTCTCCAGAAATCCTTGTTGTGTAGTATGATGGGTTTTGTCCCACGTGAAGAAGATGGCTTTTTTGCCCGGGTAAGTCTCTGCCAAATATTTAATAGCTTCTTGGCCACTCGTGACGGCCCCGACCAACATGGATGGATCATACCCCAGCTTGGGTAGCTTGGCAATGGCAGCCGCCGATGGGGATGACGAATTGGACAGGATAATGAGTTTCTTTCCCTTGGCATGCAAAGCTTTGACACACTCTGGAGCACCCTCTAGGCCATGAGCTCCATTATGAAGCACTCCTATCATAAATCGATGGAAAAGTGAGAAAACGCAAGAGATGGTGAGTTGGATCATTTCCTGCTACTACTAGTACGCTTCGAGCGACGTACCAAACTGATCTAGGATGAAGCCATCGTATAGGTCCACAATTTCCTCGATCGATGCATTCGTTTGATATGGCATCTTGCTTTGATAAATGAAGAGACCTGCCTCTGTGTTAATGGAATGGAAATGCAACCAGCTTGGGTGTGGCGGCCAACCGAGAAAGATTTCGGTGTGCGTGTTGGCACGAGTTGAGCCGGAAGTGTTAGAGACTGAGTCCGTGGAGGCAAGATTTGATTAACAGCTTCAATGGCTCACATTTTGCCAAAACCAATGACGACAACTCCAAACCATTTCCTCTACCGGTATCATTCAGTACCGGTACCGTAGTAGTCAACGAGCCTTCATCATTCATCCATCGCTCGCCATGTCACTATCTTCTAAGCCAACACCTTCCGAAGAACATGAGAATGAAAACCTGAATCCAAACCTCAGTGACTATGAGCGGAAGAGAGCACAGAACATTGTTCGAAACAACGAGAGACTGTTGAGCTTGGGCCTCATTTCTTCGCTGGAGGCAACGCAATCCAATGCTGCCGCCTGGGGCTTGCAGGTTCCAGCATGTATCCGTAGCAGTGCATCATCAACAACTACGGATAATGAAAAAGAATCCACAAAATTAAAAAAGCGCAAATCTATCAAAGAGTCGCCGCTGCCACCTTCACGAAAATCGGCCAGATTGCAAGGAAAGCCAGCGGAAGAAAATGTAATGCTACCCAATGATGATAAAGCAGATAATGAATCCACCAAGGGTCTTTCTACGAAAGAACGCCGATTGGCAATCATCCAAGAATGTCGACAGGCCAGATTGAAAGCGGCGGCAAGAGTCATGGAGGAAGGCGAAGAAAGGGCAGCCAAGCAAAACCCCACGGCAACCTACGCGCACTGTTCAATGAGAGTTCGAACCATGACAGAAAAGGGTCTCAAGAACAGAGTCAAGACCATTGAACGGGCTGCCGGAAAGCATTGTGTGGTCAAAATGGCGATTTTCAAGAGCTGCCTCCAAGATGAAGACGAGTGGGATTTGGCCAACCTGGCCAGTGAAGCTTTGGAACGGCTCAAGGCAATGCAGCCACCTCCAGTAGAGAGTTAAGTCCTTTTTTCTAATTCATCCATACACTATAAGTATTGTTCGTATGTTTTGCAAATTGTCTGGTCCTGATGAGATTGGAATTGCTTGAGTCAAAATGATCAACATCCAGCCATAGATTCTACTTTATCTGATCTGCTTGAGTCAAAATGATCAAGAGCCAGCCATAGATTCTACTTCATCTGATCTCTCCAAACATAATAAACTTAAAGGCCAGTGGTTTCATCCAAGCCAAGGGCAATGTTCAAGTTCTGAACAGCAGCTCCACTGGCACCCTTGCCCAAATTATCCAATCGGGCAGAAAGAACAGCTTGTCCAGCTTCATCATTGGCAAAGACAAACAGTTGCATCTTATTGGTATTCTTCAGGGTATCAGGACGAAGGAAAGCATCTCGCTCCAGCAATCCGGCTTCCTTGACTCCTGCCTCGCCCATGGGCATGACTTCAATAAAGTTGGATCCTTCGTAATGCTTGCTGAGGGTTTGGTGCATCTTCTCTCCCGTTGTTCCTTCTGCCAACCACGCGTAATGGAGTGGAATATTGACCACCATGCCTTGTGGGAAATCTGCTACTTGTGGTTGGAAAATGGGTTCCTTGCCCAAACCAGAGTACTTGGCCATTTCAGGAATGTGCTTGTGTTCTGTGGACAAAAAATTTCAAGTCAAGTTTTCAAATGAGTGCAAAAGATCCTACGTCAAAATTTCCACAAAAGGAAATCCGACGAAAACTTACTCAAGCTGAACCCATAGGCTCCCCATGGTTCATGTTCTTCTGTTTCATAGAGGTTCATCAGTCCCTTACCGCCTCCAGAATATCCCGAAATGGCATTGACTGTCAACGGGGTTCCGGCGGGGATAATTCCAGCATCCGTGAGTGGTCGTGTAAGGCTAATAAATCCAGTGGGATAACAGCCAGGGTTTGAAATTCTTTTGGTAGTGGTCAGAGCCTCCCGTTGCTCCTTGCACAACTCTGTAGTATTGGGGCAAGAGACAATATGTTGAATGAAAATTCTGTTAAAGATTGACTCCTGACAACAAATAATGCATTCAGTTTGAAACTGACTCACCTGGAAACCCATAGACCCAATCATCAGCCACACGAAAGGCAGTGGATGCATCAATGAGGACAGTTCGGTCATTATCTACCCAAGATGCTGCTTCTATGGATGCATCATCTGGGAGGCACAAAATGACAGCATCGGCTTCGTTGATGAATTGTTTTCGAGTATCAGGATCCTTTCTCAAGTCTGAGGGAGGAGAAATAATCTCCAAATCATCTCGCTTTTCCAGACGACTTCTGACCTGGATACCAGTTGTGCCTGCTTCTCCGTCAATGAAAACCTTGGGCTTGGCGGAAAGGGCACCGAGACGGCTTCCGGTCTGGATGGATGGAGAAAATCCAGCAACACCACTGGCAAGGAGGAAAATGGATGAAAATCTCATGGTCAAGGCAAATTGTGTACGGAAGGGAAGCTGGCTACTCAAGAAAAAAATATATGTGAAGCTCTGTTGTGCTTTTATCTTTCCTGTATTTGCTTTTTTCGTGCTGTATTTCCTTCGTCAAGCTTGTACATCTAGCAGATGCCAGGCAGGATGCACTTGTATTCTCTGAATATCTTTCTCGGAGTTGACACCGATGAGATGCGAACGGTTGAAAGGGGCGGAAGCGAAAGAAACAGGTACGTGTTTGGAAGGTTCTGGAAGAATCCATTTGAAACTACAGGCCCAGACCCGTTACTGGAACGTCTCCACTTTACTGACTTTTGGCGATTTTACCAGAAAAATCTCAACATGAATTGATCATTACTCAAATCGCTCATGATGAATTCATCATCAAGTTCAATACTTTCATCATTAATTCATCATGAATGTTTAAATTCATCACTAATTCAATCATTTTCATCAAAATTCATCACATTGCAGCACAAATGCACACTGTATTATCAATAAATTTCATCACGGATTCATGATGAATTGATGATGAATTCAAAGTTTTATGATGAATTCATCACCAATGTAATTACTTTCATCATTAATTCATGATGAATGGTTTAATTCATCACCAATTCATCAAGTTTTAGAAAATTCATCATAATTCATCATACGGTAGGGGATACGTTCCCGGCAGATAATATGTATGTACTGTAGTTTTGTGTATGTTTGGATGTAGCGCGCACCACTTGGGAACTCCCGAAAGCCGAAAGCTTGTCCGAGGCCGTCCAGCAGGGTTTGATGCTTCTTCCTTCAGGGGTGCACTTGCCTTTGGCATCAGTGTGCACAAAGAAGGCATTGGTGTGCCGTACCGTGCCGAAAGTTCAGTGGGCTAAGGTGCTGCGACAAGAATCTCCCCCGAGCCCACAGTCAGCTATGGTGGGATTGCAAGCTGGCTAATCAGAGTCAAAAGCAACAACCGTTCATGGTATCTATAGGTAGTGCTCGTTCCTGTCTATGCTTTCTTTTAATAAAAATAAGTGCACCTTAGTCTTTAGGCTCTGAACCAGCCGGCAATGGCATTGCCACACCCATCCTTCGACCAACTTCGCAACTTTGCATGGCCCAGCAGGGGTGAGGTGGCCTGCACGAAGTCCAGCGTCGGCAAGCCGGATATCAAAGCAACAACCGTACATGGTATCTATATGTAGTGCTCGTCTTGTCTATGTTTTCGTTCAAAATAAGTGCATATTAGTTTTTAAGCTCTGAACCAGCGGGCAATGGCATGGCCTCACCCATCCTTCGACCAACTTCACATAGCCCAGCAGCGGTGAGGTGGCCTGCACGAAGTCCTGCGTCGGCACCTTGCACGCCAAACTCATCCTTGTCAAGAGGATCAATGCAAATGCAACGCTCCACGGCGGAGTTCCCCGCCTGCTTCAGGGCGTCATTGACAACGTGAACCTTTTTGCCGCTCCAGATGATTGGGCTTACCACAACCGGCATGTCAGGAACAGCCAGATCTTCTCGGAATGTCTTTGTAAAGTGCTGAAAATTGGCCAAATAAGCATTGGCGTCTTTGGCTTTGGAGGAATCGCTTGACCCTTGAAGCCAAAACATTCCACCAAGCGGACAGTCAACATCAGACTGCCCCTCCCGAATTGACTCAAGGGCCGTCCTGCAAAAATCCAAAAAACGAGGATAATATCCGATGCTCGCCATTTTACCTTCAGAATTGTTGTTGGAAGGATTCCAGTTGCTGTGGAGATTGGTGCTTCCCATGGCGAATTTGATAAAGTGGGCTCGTTGGATACCCTGCTCTTTGAGTCTGGGAGACAGAGCATGAGCAAGTGCCATTTCGGGTCCAAATATATCCATTTCAAGCCCAGGTGAATGCTGGGCTTGGAGTGACTCAAACTTCCCGCTTGAATTGCACCCTTCTCCCAAGTTGTGGTCGTTGTCCCAGCACATTCGAAAGTTGATATCTCGGATTTCGGCCGGTTGCAGGCCTTCTGGCAGCTCTGTGACATCACATCTCCCCGCCATGTTGGACTGGCCTGCCAAAATAAAGACTGGCTCTGTTCTCATTTCGAGCTCAATTCTTTCCTCCTGTTGGCTGATTCTCTCGTCAGTTTTATGATGTGATGTTGTGCTTGCAAGGAAAGACAAGAGGGCAAGCCACGACAAGGCAAGCGCGGTTCCAGAAAGTCAAACCCATCAATAACCCAACCGTGGATGGCTGGTAAGCCTGCAAGGCATCAAAGCAGAAGTCTCTGCCAGCAAAGCAGAAGTCTCTACCAGGAGTAAAATACTACATGAAGAGCAAACCATGCAGTCTCCGATGCCGCTCCCAAGATCTTTCTTGCACCCAACGCTGTGCATTCCGGGTGGATCAAGTTTGTCTTTCCTCCTCATAACCCAAAGTCTGAGATGTTTGCAGTGAGCATGATGAGAAGTGCAGGTCTATACCAGATGCGCGACGGGGAACAGTAAGCCAACCATCTAGCTAGGGACCCAGATGAGGGGGTGAATGTGAATAGTCTGCAGGAGGAGGTGGTGGTACTAGTATCTCAACACACTCCGATCGTGGGGCTCTTTTCGTTGACTTGCAAGAATTTCCAAGCACTCCCTTTGTAACCCGAACTGATGAAACATTCCAGTTGCTGCAGCGTCGTTGTGGGTGCTCCTATTGAGGACCATGGGGGCGCGACTGCAACTCTGGGCCCAGTGCGTATAACCGGATGACACATCCAGGACAGCCGCAGCAAGGGTCCTGCCTTATGCCAAAACTGGCAATCTTGATGCTGTCTAATTCTTGGGCTCATTGCGGCCTATATGGTAGGTAGATAGCATACATAGATGAGCTCTAAAATAAATGACATGGATTGAGCCAACCCAGGAGCCAACCCAGGAGGCCACTAGAGCTAGCACGAGGCAAAATCAGGGAAGCATTCAATCTGTCAACAACCCGCATGCGAGTTTGAGGCTAGCTCGTTGAACACAGTTCTCCGAGTCCACAGCGGTTGTGTTTAGCTCTGCCGTCCTCGGTCTGGCAAGAAACGGCCAAGCACTGAGTGCTTCATCCAGCTAATGGTAGCGTTGCGGCTGGAACTACAAATATCGGATTCATAAGCAGTGAATTGTAGATTTGAATAATTCTTCACCCGTTGTCTATTTCTTATTTTGTCTCAAAAACCAAACCAACTCTTCAACATCAATGCCACCTTCGATGCTTCAAGACCAGAACGAGCAACAGAACAAAGATCAATGACAGCAGACAAATGATACACTTCAAAGGCCGAGCGCTCTTTTGTGACTTTTCGGCTCGTTCCAATTGCTGAATACCCGTTTTGGTACTCTCCACTACAGCTTCCATGTTGTAATCAATTCGATCTAGGATGGTTCCTTGGTCAATGACCAAAACGGCCAATTCTTTGAAAATGGCTCCGAGTTCTTCAATGGATTGGGCAATCTTGACAATTTCCTGATCTCGGGATTGTACTGCTTCGGTCAAGTCATCGACCACGGCCATTTGTTGTGTCGTAAAGAAATCTCCACCCCCCTGAGTGGTGGAGGTCCCATTAAAGTCGATACCGAATCTGGAATCGGCTCCAGCGGCAATTCCACCACTCTTTTGAGCCTGTACTTCGGCCAAGTATTTTCTCTGACTCTGACGAAAGGTAACTGATTGTTCTTGCAATCGTTTGGCCAGACTGTGTTTGGGGGATTGTCAGAGTTATTATTGAGAAACCTGACCAAAGACAACAGTTAATCCATACACGGCGACCTAACGGAATCATTCTGCTTACTCACCTTCTCTGGACATTGGCTCCGACGGTGGCTTCTTCTCCGCCGGCTCTCTTGGTAGCCATTCCGACCTTTTGTAGCAATCGTTCGGCATATCGAAAGGCATCGGTGATATCTCGTGTCAATTTTTCGATTTGTCCTTCCATATTGTCCAAATCCTTTCCAAAAACACTTCCCACTCGCGTGGCATGCAGGGAATGCAGTTTTTCCATTTGACGCTGAATGTCGCTGAGGACTTCATTGACGGCGTCGACATCTTCGACCCAAGCAGGACGCTGTTGTTTTCCCAGAGTGGACATTTGAATGCCTCCTTCCTTTAGAAATACATATTTAGATCGTACGAGTAGTAGGGATTGATGAGTAAGAAGAAGTGCCAATGACATGATACGGCAAGGTTGGCAAATAATTTATTGCCGAGTTTCAACGTACTTCCTGTAAGAATAGATCTTCATCTGCTCCTCCAGCGGCCAATTTTGTGTAGGAGTCTATTCATAAAATAAACAGAAAGGGATAAGCATGAGAAGGAATGGCAAAGGGAAGAATCCATGCATTGATGAGAGACAAGCCAGAAGGATCGAAGCATGACACAATTTCGATTTGTTCTCTTTTTGTCCTTGAGCTTACCATTGACCATTCCACCGCCTCCTCCACCACGATCCTCTCCGGCAGTTCGGCGCCTCATCATGGTGGCAGACCGCCGTTCCAGGAAGGTCTTGGTCAGATCTCGAGACGCCATCGTCGCAGTCGCCGTTTGGTGCTGTGTGGGGTTGTCGTGTTGGTTGTCGCGGTTAGATTGCCGTGATTCGATTCGATTCATTGACCCAATTGACCACTAAGGTTGCGGTTTTCGATCCTGCGGATTCAGGCAGAAATTGATGCCATTATTACGTCCTGAGTGAGTTAGTTGATGGAAAGAAATCAATGGCCAAATCCATCACTCTGAAGTCAATCTCCGGACGAAATAATTGTCATTTTCGTCAACGTCTGGGATTGCCGCCATTTTCTTCTTGGAGGGTAGCAGCTGTGTTCGCACAACCATTTTATATTATTATCTCTTCAACATCCAAGATGCTCGTCACCAATCCACTCATCAACAATGCTGCTGCTGCAGCGGTATCGTCTACTACCTCTCTTCACCACAATAACAATAATGCCAGCCGCGGCGCCTTTATAGTCATGGAAGGAGTGGACCGCTGTGGCAAGACGACGCAATGCGGACTACTACTGGACCAACTGCGCTCGGACAACATTCCCGCCGTGGCGATGCGATTTCCCGATCGCACCACGGCCATTGGTGCCATGATTAACCAGTACTTGACAGGTGGAACCGATCTGGACGATCGCGCCATTCATTTGCTCTTTAGTGCCAATCGCTGGGAAGGCGCTCACAAATTGGAGCATCACTTGTTCCACCGAAAGGAAACCGTCATTTGCGATCGATACGCATACTCGGGAGTGGCCTTTTCCTCGGCCAAACAGCCTGCAACGGGAGAGCCATTGTCCTTGGAATGGTGCAACAATCCGACGTGGGATTGCCCGCTCCCGACGCCGTCATTTTTCTAGACTTGTCTCAGGAAGAAGCCCAACAACGAGGAGGATACGGAGAGGAACGATACGAAACGAAAGATTTACAAATTCGCGTCCGACAGCGATTTCAGAAATTGCAGCAATTGGACACGCAAGTGCCGTGGCATGTCGTGTCGGCGGCTCAATCCATTGAAGAGGTACAAGCCGATATTTCCAAGATTGTGGAAAAAACAATGGCACAAGCCAAACACAAAAAGCTGGGCAAATTGTGGCAAGAGGGAGATTATGTTGCCGCCTGCATGCAAGAGAAAAATAAGAACAACGAAGAAGACGAAGATAGCGAAAAGGAGAATTAGTAGGAAAGGATGAAAAAGAATGACGCAAACCATTCACACAGACTGTTATCACACTAATCACACGGCATTTATTTATTTGTGGATTGGATGGATCTAAAAACTAGGTATCAAAAGAATCGATCATTCTACTTCTACTTTAGTTGATGTCTCTTCTGTGCTACTGGCACCACTACGGGTGTGTGCCTTTGTTGGCGAGACATCAGATTCCTTAGCGGAATTAATGTCATCGTCAGCCATGCTTGCGTCTGCTTCTCTTTGTTCTTTTGTATCTTCATCTGCCGTTGTGGTTGTGGTTGTTTCTGGGCGGGGTGTTGTGTTGGCGGCTCCGCCGACAACATTCTTTCGGTCATGTTGCCGTTGGTGCGACAAGAGCATCTCCAGCTTGCGTTTGGCTCGTTCTGGGTCATACTCCCTGGGAACTTCCTGAAAAATGTGCAGGGATCTTCGTGTTGTTACGAGGAGTCTCATCGCGCCTCCTGCTTCATTGCTTCCACTTGTGGTTGCTAGTGTTGTTGGTAGAGGACAAATACCGTGAATAGGATCGGGAAGTTGACAATCCCAATACGGCATCCCATAGTCGTCGTCGTGTGCAGTCTTGCTGTTGTTTTCTGTTGCAGCATCCCTCCCAAAGAGCAAGCATCTCCCCGAATAGGTCCCCAAAGCTACTTTGTCCTCCCAAGCGTGCACGGCCAGGATAGAGTCTTCTTCGTCTTGCTCGTCTGCTGCTGATGGATCATTCATGGCTGTACCAAAGCCTTCGGCGACCATAAAGGGGCCTTGCCACGAGAAAACATCCATGGAGGGTTTGTAGAATCGAGCCGCATAGCCACACAACGACCCAACGATAGCTTCTACCGCATTGTCTTTGTTGTTGTTGTTGTCTTGTGATTGTTCTTGTGCTTGATGTGGTGAATCTGCAGCATGGACATGCAGGTGAAGCGACACGATGGGACCGTCGACTACGACCGTGCATTCCTCCCGGCATTGCAGTGTATTGCTGTTGTCAATTGCAGACCAAGAATACCCATAGAACCGTATAGTCCCGTCTTGACACGCCACACCCACTAAGCCCCGTGTATCTGTATCGGTGATGCTCGTATCCTTATGATCTTTTGGTCGCTCCAATACTAACCCCTGTTCCTCCTCTCCATCATCATCACTAGCAAAATCATCTTCTGTTCTTTCTAATGTTGGTAGATTGCCGGCACGAGGTGTTGATGGCTGCTCTTGCTCGTGTGGTGATAATGAGACACAATCAATGGCCATGATGGGAGACTGAAAGGAAATTGGTGACAATGCCTTTGTATTAGTTGTTGTGGTGTTTTCTTCCTCGTCGTCAACAGGGCACCCCATAATGTTTGTCTCGACCAACAATGACGACAAAGAAGAAGAAGAAGACTCTGCACCTAAACTAGTACAATCATGGGTGGGGGTTCGAAAGAGTCGTAGCTTGGTATCATCGGCACTACCAACCCACACTCCTACAACGGCAGTCTCGGATTCTTGTCTGGGCTGCTGCAAAATAACAATTTTGGGAGCCAGAGGTCGATACTCGATTCCTTTGGAGAATTGTCGTTTGGTTTGGCAATGCTGCAGTACAATTCTGGCCAGGGGTTGTTTGTTTTGTTCTTCTTCTTCTTGATCATTGTCCTTTTCTTCGTCTTTTTCTTCCACCAGGTTGGCCAATTTGCCAGTAGTAGCGGCATTGTTGGTAGCAATATTATTTCCAGTAGTAACATTGGCGGATGATGCCGTGGTGGTGGATATGGATGATGATGCTGTGGTATCAATATTAATGACGGCCGGTGTGGCCGATGAGGCAGCCGAGGTGGTGGATCCGACCGTCATGGCAGTGGTTCCCGTGTCCGTCGAAGATACGGAATTATTACTGCTGGAGACTCGTCGTCTCGGTCGATTGTTGTTAGTGTTGGAAGCTGCCGCCGTCGACCCAGCTCCATCCATGGTAACAATGGTTCCGTCATCACCCTGTTGTGTTGTGGTTGTGTGTGGCTGAAGTTCCTCCTCCTCTTGCTCACTCACGCGTGATGCATCCAGCAATACAAAGACTTCCCAATCACCGCAAGAGTCGTATCCGGCACACCGTAGGTTCTTGGCAATTTTCTTGGGTATCCCCGATGGAGTCAAGACTGGATTTTGTTGAACGAAAACTTGATTATCTTGATGACGATTATCCATTTGGACTTCCATCACATGTCGCTCTGTGGCCAGACGAGCCCAAGTAGTCCAAGGGGTATTACTATTATCCTCCTCCTCCTCCTCATTATTCCTATGTGAAACTTGTCTGGGAACCGAATAGCAAGTGGTGGGTGAGGTCAATTTGCAGGTGAAAACCTCTCGAAACGCGGGAGGGGTGGCCATATTACTGTATTGTTGTTATGCCATATGGTAGGGTAGCATTAAAACGCGGAGGTAGCTAGTACCGTAGGTAGCATGATAGCGTCTTTGCTTCAGTGTTGCTTTGGTTGTGATGTTCACACGTTGACACCGCTGGATACAGTTTTGAGGATACTAGTACTGTATCAAAGCCAAGACTTCAGCCGAACAAAAGTGAAGATCCTTTGCTGACGTAAGAGCCGTGTAAATACTTGCAATCAAAATGACCTTCCACTTTTTCAAAAAGACCCAGTATGCCGCGTACCACTAGCTAGCACAGTCACACAGTCACGCTGTCATTTCCGCCTTCCGACTGTATTCGCCACTGGTCAACTTGCAACGATGAGAAAACGCTTCATGAAAGAACCTCCAAATCAACCGTCCAATCTCACTGGTGAAGCTCTGGTGATCATTAATTTTCGTGCAGCTGACCAAACCATACCAGTCTAGTGTATGCCCATTATTTATCATCCACCCATTAAAAAAGTAAACAAACACAACACAACACAACACAACACAACTATACACTACTAACCATGACCAAGGCTGATGTGGAATCTCGCGTCAAGGCGACGCTGGTAGATGAGTTCAATCATTCGTGTGCCGAATGCGACCGTCCCGAGAACAAGCCCGTGGTGGCGGCCATTTTTGCCTGTCCCGTCGATCACAAGCGACTGGCTGTGGTGTGCTGCAAAAAATGCCACAAAGCCATGTCCAAAATGTCCGATGACGATGTTCAGTTCACATTTCGAAGTTTGGTATCAACCGATGAGTGTAAGTTATGGCGTTTGTGAAGACAGCAAGAAAATCAGAACATTGAAACTGACTTGGACTTCCCAACTAACTAACTAACTAACTAACTAACTAACTAATTATCTACGACTAACCAACTACAGGGACCGACAAAGATGTGGAAGCACTGGAAATTGGTGGCAATGCCCTGGTCAATGCCTGCTACGAAGCTACCGTCACCAACGAAAAGGACGGCAGAGATCGCAAGAAGTATGGATACGAAGCATTCCTGTTTGAAAAATACGTCAACATGTCCTTCTTTGATGAAATACTCTACAAACAAATGATGGCCAAAGCTAGCAAGGCACTCGTCGAAAAAAGATTCAATCAGAGCTTGAGAGGATTCAACCTCAAAAAAATGGAGGACTTGCAAAACTCAATGACAAACATGAGTGTCGATCCCAGGGAACTACTGGAGCAAGATCCCGCTGCCGAAGAAGGACGGGGAGAACCCATGGAACGGACTCATTCCTCCCGGTCAGTTCAGAGAGAACGCCGCAATGTCGGAGCCAATCGACGACGACTCTCCTCGCGCAATCTGCTGGGCGACGCCGACAGTGATGGCAATAGTACTACTCCCACCCGGAGAAGATTATCCTCGCGCAATTTACTAGCCGATGACGAGAAAAAAGAGGATTCCGCCAAACGCACCCAACTCTCCCGCAATCGCATGAATTCCCTGCGCCGGGACTTGTCGGGAGGTGATCATGACAATAACAAACAACGACCCAGCAATGTGCGAGACAAATCTTCCAGAGATGGAGGAGGCATGCGGCGGGCATTGTCCCAAAAGCGCTTGTCTGCTGGTGGATCCAATCATTCTCGCTCAGATGGAATGCGGCGCGCTTCTTCCAGCAATCGATTGAATGTTGAACGCAACAACAGCAGTGGCAGCATGAAACGAACCTCGTCGCGCAACAGTCTCCACAGTAGTTTTGTGGTGCATGGTGATAATAATCATGATGATGGTGAACAACCCAGGATGCGACGAGCATCCTCCAGGAACAAACTAATGAATGCGGACGATGAGGATCGTCGACGAAGTGGAGGACGTCATCGCTCGTCCAAGAGGAGCCTGCTGGCTTAGAGAAAACAGCCAGCATAGGGAGCGAGAAACTCCCATGAACAGGTTGGATGTTGGTACCCGCGCTCTCGGCTGTTGGACGAGTCGAGTCGCAACAAATCGACAATTGCCGTGTATAAACTGTGGATTGGCCAATTCAAGCATGGCTTGTGTGTTTTGTGTGAACAAATTGTGTACGTAGAATGCTGCAGTGTTTAACTAATATAGTGAAGGTATACCCCAATACACTGATATCAGATGGCAGCAGCGGTATGGTAAGAGGAAAGTACTGGAGGGTGGCATAGCTGAGATAAACCCAGTTCAGCTTTCTGAATCGAAACACTTCAATGCAGCGAAAGGGCGACGCTTTTATAAAAATGGCCTGCATGATGGTTGTTGTGGATGGCTGCATGTGATGCCATTGCAGTGCTTTTTCCAACTAACTAATCTACCAACCCTGCGGCCAAACAAAAGTCGACCAATTCTCGAAGCAGCCGATAGATTCTCATGTTTTGCCCCGACTTGGAGACCCTCAACACCTCAAGCCATTGGTCCTTGAGTGTGCTAAACGTCTTGCGCGATGATTTCAGACTGGCCAAAACCCGACCAACATCGGATTCCAGCGATCCATCATAGGATAAGAATTGCTCTCCCAACTCGGTAATCTTGTAGCCAAAGGGATTGTACCCTGCTGGAATCATCCCACCGCCACGTGGCAACGATATTGCCAATAGATCATGTTGGTTGTACTGCAGCTGGTTGTGCTTGGCAGGCTGAAACAAACTCTGCACTGGTTGGATACATAATATCAAGAGGATCAACGTGAGTAGGGAGCACCTCGTCATCTTCATCTTTGCTTCTTTGTTTACTGGATTGGATAGGACCGTTCAGGTGAGGATCGATGATCGGTGCATGCAGGTGTGGATGTGGATTGTGGATTGTGAAACATGGCGGATCGGCGGATCGCGATCTGTTGCACCGATTCTGTGAAATTCCTAATTCTGCAGAATCAATCCAGGCTTTTTTCCAATCCAGGCTGTTCTTTCAATGACCATGCTAATATTCCCCAACTCCCGGTACTGGTACTGGTGCATGGTAGCTAGCCAACCAGACACTGCGGAGTTGGCTTGTTGCAAGTTTGGTGGTGTCACGGTGTCGTCAGTTTTGGCTGGGAGGGTAACAGGTTACCAGTCGTGGTAGTCGCTTTGCTGGGCCTCTCTTGAGGCCACCTCTGGGTAGCTAGCTGGCTAGCTACCTAGCTAACAAGCATTACCTAGTAGTAATCAAATCATCTTTCTTAGCCAGTGATAGCTAGCTAGCCCGAGCCAGCAGTTGGTTCTCCCAGAGCTCCTTGCCCTCAGATCCATTCCCAGTTCCATTACAAGTATTATGCTGAGATGCAAGCTACCAATCAACCTTCCCGTTCAGCGACGTCTCTGTGGTTTCTACTCCATTCCAAATATTCTGCGGAGGCCCCAGCTAGTTATCACTAGCTAGCTACCAATCAACTCTCCCAGCTAGTGACAGCCATAACAGTTCTCCCCAGATGTATGCAGCAGCATCAACAAAGCAAAGCAAATGAATAGAAATAGTGGAGCCACAACATGGGTGGGGGATTTTAATAGCCTATGACCCGTATTTCTGCAGAAAAAGGGGTAATTCTGCAGAAAAATATAATTCTGCAGAATTGCATAAGAGAAAAATTAAAATTCTGCAGAATATTTTTTTCTGCAGATATTTTCCCTGAATTCTGCATGAAATTCTGCAGAATTGTTATAACAGATCGATATTGAGCAAATAACAAACAGCAGAGCTGGGGGGAACCACATTCGTTGAAAAGCTCCCTTTGAAGGTCAGCCCTTGGGGACAGTGTTGGAGTGCCAATCTTCCACCTGTATACTCTGGTAACTGGTGCGTGCTTGAACGTTCAATACATGTAGGAAGGCCAAGGAATGCACCGTTCGACAGCTGAGTGATGCCTTGATAGTTGAGAGCAATGGTGCAGAGGTGCACGGTTATGTTCAAGTGCTGATGCTTTTTTCGCTTGCCTTAGAAGTCATTCGGCCCGTACTGTAGGAGACCTGTGTTCAAATTGTAACTTCTTGTTTCTATGAAGCATTTTAAAACTCTATTTTCCCCTCTTCGAGATGGGTTGCTTGGTTGAGGAGATTCTACAGCCCATCATCACACAGCTCATTTGCATACCGGAACCCACCGGCTACCGAGACAGCCAGGTCATTGAACAAGCCTGAACATACCACGGAGGGCAGTGGCGGCGCTTTCAGCAGTGTAGATTTCTTCCGTCAAGATACCCACAATTGATTCAGTGTCTGATCCTCCAGAAGTGCAGATTTCATCAGTGTAGGAACTCAATGCAAAGACCCCTTCAACCTGGACAAGAATTCCAATGGTGACAAACAAATGGAACCATTCATGGTACCCCCAAAATGGATGATATCCTCCTGCTCGGCTTGCATAAAGGGAAAATCCCAATGCATGAAGGATCCCACCACCCAACATACAGTAAAAGACCTCAGAGTCTTCTACATGCACTCCGTAGAACCAAAGGTTGGAGGCAAAGGGGCAGATAAAGCTTGCAAAGGCGATTGGGCCTAGGCCACAAAGAATCCCAATGAATGCTAGCCCCAGAGGAATTGCTGCTGTTACCAATGAGTAAAACGCGCCAGGTTTGCAAGTCTCACTCTCAACTAATTGTGGGGTCACAAACATTGCTGTCACACAGAGAGCCAAGATACAAGACTTGTCCAATCGAGTGATGGCGTCCTGCAAGCGCTTGTTTTTCCAAGGAATTAGATGTAGCAAACTGGAAAACACAAACACACAGCAGACATTTATCATGACAGGTGCAGCCATTGTAGGGATGTCATCCCAGTACTTGTGGACAAGTGAGACAGAGGTCAGAGCACTCATTCCATGCAACCAGCCTCGAAAGAGGGGTCTTGGAGATCCATCAACATAGTTCTTGTGGAATGGCATACCGGTATTGTATTTTGTTTCGCCGAAGCTTTTGGTTAGTGAGCTCCTTTGGAATTACCATCTGGATTGGGGAGTGTCTACTACTAGCTAGTAGGCAGCCATGCATAGCTGATCGATGTTGTGGCCGAGCAGGTCTTGCGCTATTTCTGGCCGTACTACCAGGTACTGCATGATACGAAGGGCACAGACAAGGTAGGTGATCCCTGATTGAAGATTCGTACGGTACTTATTGGGGAATGAGCAGCCATGCTCGGGTCAATAAAATCGATGTTGCCGCTGCCACGCAGGCCCCCCACAAGTTTCTTCTCACCATTACCATTCAGCATTCAAGAAGATGCGGTAAAATTTACCTTTAATCAATTCTTCAGAGGCAAGTATTTACATAATCTACCTGGGGCTCGAGGTTGCAGAAGCAATTGGCGTTTCCTGCTTTCCTGCTTTCTCCCCGCGTAAGAACTTCATTCCTGAGTACCGGTAGAGTTTGGGTTTTGTTTTGGATCTTTGGATTGCCTTTTCTATTTCCTTGCGACCAAGCCAAGCAAGCGCTCAACATTAACCAATCCAAGCTACATGTAGCGCGTTGATGATGGTGACAGTGGCACCTTTATCTCAATCTGAAGTGGCCCTGCGAAAGTCGGTTGACCAGTTACTGAGTGATTCGGTGGAACCATGGGCCAGCAGGCCAGGTTATGCCGTCTTTGACGACGAAGAGTGCAATGTTGTCAATACCAAAATGCAGCGACTGTCCATCAAGACTCCATCGGCTCAAGATACCCCAGAAAAGCCACCCGAACCAAGAGACCCCGATGACAGTGTCGAAGCTCGAAAACGAGCACCAGCTACCTACGGGGAAATCACATCGGCAGGAGCTAGGCAGCTCTTCTATCACATGGGTTTATCAACAGATGACACTGGAAATGAAGAAGAAGAAATTGTCTTTGTGGATTTAGGTTCTGGCCGTGGGAAACTCATCCTGCAAGCGTACATGGAACTGCCTCGATTGTCCAAGGCCACTGGCATTGAGTTGGCTTCCCCACGACATGATACAGCTGTTACCGCATGGACAGACCTACAATCAACAGCCAGAAAGCTCCGATTCGGCGGTCAGCCAGAAAACGAGAGTTCTTCCAAAATAATAAAGGAAGCTACAGTTGAGTTTCTGAATGAAGACTTTCTAGAAGTGGACTTGTCCAATGTGACGCACATGTACATCTCTTCCTTGTGTTTCCCAGAGACCCTCATGTATCACATTGCTGCCAAGCTGGAGCGGGATGCTCCAAAATTGAAATGTGTGGCCACATTAAGGGCGTTTCCAGCGGAATTCCAGAAAAGAGGGATTCTGGATCGAACATCTTATGAACTTGTCTACAAGACATTTGGTTTTGTGGATCGAATCGAAGAGGTCGAAATGACCTGGACACAACACAGAGCTGGTGGTTGTCCAACGTATGTATACACCAAGGCACCAGAGTTTAAATAGTGAGAAGCCACGGGAGATGGGAGAGAGAGAGTTACGGAGGGAGGAAAGTATGACTTGAGAATTGGACACAGCTTTGTCTGAATTTTCACTCAACCCGCAAATTCTACTTCCCGCAGAAACCAACAGCGCAATGGCCCGGTTCTATTTCCTCATGACACTCACATGTCTTATGATCTCATCCCTTGCCGCCGGCCGCAGCGAGCAAACGCCACTACTTATACTACCGGTATGCTTTAAACCTAAATGCTTTTAAAATTGAGTGATATTAGCACTCGCATGTTTCATTGGTATTGTTGGTTTGCTTCCGACCCACACGGGCCATCCCGAAACGGGTGGATACGGAAGACACTAACTAGTCTTGACAATGGCTGCCAACAGCTGCCGCTAGCTAGCGAGGCTACTGGTACGGCCAATTCGTCTTTCTGCAGAGAAAGCTCAATGTCGTTGTGGCATCCCTGCTTCAATATGATGCCGCCATGCCCTTGTCATTGGTGGCTAGCACATCAAATATGCAATCTTCGAGGTATTCCTTCCCTGCATGGGCGCAAGCAGACGCAGCATCATCTCTTGATAAGGATTCGCCCAGCTGGCGACGGCGAAGCCATTTGGGTGCCATATGGGACGGGATTTCGCATCTCTCGGGGTGCTGAACCCCATCGTTTGAATGAAATAGGTTGGGTTCGTCAAAGCGAACTTGCCATTCTTGTCCAAAGGCATCCGTGTTCCAAATCAGCTGGCCATTCCGACCCATGTGAGCACCAGAGGGATAGGATCCCATGAGGCCTCGAGCTCCCCGAAAGTCGTCCGGCCTCTTGGCGTTCACGTTGAATCGGACAAAGTCTCCAAACGTCTCCAAACTGAAGGAGTTGAAGGCATCCCACGTCAATCGGAATTGCTTTGTCTTGGTGCTGACGCTGTGATACCAGATTTTGTGTCCGCTCATCGTAAAGTTCAGAAATTGTCCATCGGGCTTGAGGTCGGGTCCCAGTTTGCCATTGGTCCAGTACCGCACCGAGTTGTCGCGCCCCCCCTGGACCTCCAACCGGTCGGACCCAATCTTCAGGACAACCGAGTCAATGTAGGACCACCAAGTTCTAATTCTAGTCCTGATGTGCACAGAAAGGCCCAGGCCGTTTGCAAAGGCTGGGCTGTCCAGCAACACCAAATCACACCCACCGTGAAACTGAAAGAAAAAGGGCAGATCGTGAGTCAGGGTTGGTGTGCCATAATGCAGGAGACAGCTGTGGAATAAAAATGGACATCATGTAACTTACATCAAAATGACCTCCACCCCATGTCTTGATATGAGGATCTGGATACAGGGGCGTGTGAGAACATCTTGAATGCCAAAGATAGGAGAACATCACCAGTCGTCCTTACCTCCAAAACTAGACGCACTCCTATCGGTTGTCTTGGTGTTGCCACACTTCAAGCACAGCTCAATGGTAGTAATAGGCTCGCCAGTTCCCACCTCCAAATCGTATGTTTGTCCCGACTTGAGATCACGATAGATGGTACCTCCACTGTTGCCTTGCACCAACACAGCAGTGTCGACGTGTGGAGTGAAGGTTGCCTTCCTTGGCAAGCCCCCATTGTTCATGTCACGGTCGGAACATTGCAAATCAAAGTTGCCGAGGTTGCTAACAAGACAAGTTGCCTGATCGACGTCCTTCTTGAAGGGTGTTTGATCCAGAGCATCAATCTTGAGTTCTTTTCCGGGCACGCAGTACTCCAATTGAAACCCAAAGTCGAATTCTCCTCTATCGGCGCAATCGAGCGTACCCGAGTATCGTTCTCCTGGAGGTCCTGGTTTGTCCGTTGGAGCGCTTGTGGGGCTTTCTGTCGGAGAGCTTGTTTGGCCCTCTGTTGGTGCAGCTGTGCTCGTAGCTTCGGTAGCAACTTGGGTTGCTACGTTAGTCTCAGCTTCTGTACCGGAAGCAGTCGGAGACCCCGTAATCGCTATGGTAGGGGTAAACGTGGGCGACGTGGTCGGAGCGTACGTGCTGGTGTCTTCAGCGGTAACCGAAACGCTTGGGCACCGAAAGCAGAACTCAATGTCACTGATGGCGTCATTGTCACCAACGCCAAGGATGTAAGTATCGCCAGCTTGGAGATCTGTGTACAGCGTCCCGCCATTCTCTCCTTGAATCATAACAACAGCGTCCACAGAAGTAGTCACAGTGGCAGTTCGGGGTAGTCCACCATCCTCCATGTCTCGATCACTGCAAACCAAGTTGAAGTCTCCCAAGTTCGTGATTTGGCAAGTTCCCCGATCTACTCCAGCATGGAAGGGGGTCCTGAACAAGTTATCAAAAGGGATCGCATTGCCTGGAACACAGTTTTCCATTTGGTACCCGAAATCGTATCCTCTTTCAGCACAATCCAGAAAGCCTTCGTAGTAGACTGAAGGCAGGTTGTTCTCGTAAGTTAACGGCTTGCCTTCTTCAATGACTCCAATGAAAGGAGTGCAATCCAAAGTGTATTGGCATGTCTTGGTGTTTTCCGTGAGGTTGCTGACAAGCACCTGACATGCATCTAGCTTGATGCCTCCAAACGAATCCAAGGACTCCCCGCATTGCTCTCCCAGCGTAAACTCGAAGCTGGCACAAGAGTCTTCAATTCCAAGGTCAAAGCAACCATTGTTGAACAAGACTGTTCCATTCCTAGACACTTTCATGTTTTGAATCTCAACCTCGACATTTCCAGCATTCTCTATAATGACGCTCACGACATCAGTAGAGCACGGCTCGAGAAACTCGAATCGGTATCTGTCCAAGGTCACGTTCAGATGCCCTGTTACATAAGAGTCTTCCAAGCCTGGCGATGAAAACCCGACTTTCACATCGTCCGCCAGAAAGCCAGTGGATCGACCGTACAGCTCCACAGTGAAGTCACATACTTCTAGATTGATCTCAGGAACAAACACTTCTGTTGGTTCCGTTGGAGAGCTGGTAGGTCTGTCTGTTGGACTGTCGGTAGGCTCAACTGTTGGCATGGAAGTTGGAGAATTGGTGGGACTATCGGTACTTGTTGAAGGCGCACTTGTCGGCGTGTTAGTTGGAGCAGTTGTAGGACTATCGGTACTGGATGGCATACTGGTTGGCGGTGTTGTTGGAAAAGTGGTCGGAGAGGTTGTTGGAGAATCGGTTGTAACATCATCACCACCACATTTATTACAAACAAAGCAAAACTCAATGTGACTGATTCCCTTGCGCTGGCCAACATCAAGAACAGCCTCCACACCAGCTTGGAGCTGGTAGACAGTTCCTCCATTTCCGCCCTTCATGATGACGTGGACATCTCTTGAGGGCGTGATGCGGGCATCAATGTATTGTCCGTCGTCTTCCGTTTCACAAGCAATGTCAAAGGTTCCACTGGGATTGAAACCAGCATCGCAGGTGCCTGTAGTCTTTCCGTAATGCCTGTAGTCATCCCAAGCACCAAAGGGAAGGCCACTTCCAGGATAGCAGTTCTCATCCATCTTCCATCCATAAGCAAACCCCAACTCCAAACAGTTTGGATTACCACTGTACTTCTTGACAGAGTACGTCTTTCCGTCAGGGGCGGTGTAGTCCTCGTGAAAGATATCTGGAGCGACTTGACAGTCACCCTCGGGCTGATTCGGGGATGTCGTTGGCGAAGGTGTAACGAATGATGCAGTTTCCCACAGGGGTATAGAGCCGTTGCAATTGAAGCAGAACTCGATATGATGAACGCCAGTGTCGTCTCCCCCATCGATACTATAAGTTTGTCCAGCATCCAGCCCCGAGTACAGGATCCCGCCTCGACCTCCCTTGACCATTACGACGGAATGGACATTGGGACTAATGGTAGCCGTTTGGAATCGCTCATCTATTGGATCGGAACAGACAAGATTGAACATTCCCAAGTCGTGCGTCTTGCAAGTATCTTCCTGGACGCCATTGGCAAAGGCGGTCTGGTGTAAGCTATCGAATTCAATGCCCCCTTCGCTCGAGCAGCCTGACAGTTTCCATCCGAAGTCAAAACCTTTAGCGGAACACGTTGGATTGCCGGTGTACGACCAAGCCATGAGTCCATGGCGAATTTCCATGTCGCCTTCACTGGAATCAGGAGCAGGCCGGGATGCAGCCCTGCCCACAACTCCACCTAGGAGCGTTGCGGCTGTGAGAAACGGTATCGGGAGCCGTATCATTGTTCCTTTTTGCTTTGTATCGCCAAGATTTTTGTTGTCCTCTATGGATAGCTAGCTACTAGCTGCAGAGTTCAACAACCCGGCAACCCACCTAGCCAGCACAGTAGAAAGGGTCATGGTATCTTCGTGGAAAGATATGGCTTCGTCTTCTATGGTCAAGGACTGCCGCGAAGGGAAGCAGAATGCATGCTTGGTGCTTCAATTTATCTGAATAATGGCATCAAGTTTTTATAGAGAGGGTGGACGCAAGAGAGGTTCTTGCTTTGAGTACCGGTACCGGTACCGGTAGAGGTACGGTATAATATACGGTACCAGATACCGTACGACCGTACGGTAAGACGTACTGTACCGTAAAGGGAAGAGTATTAACAAAAATGCGCAGGCAGCCATTCGGGGTTCGGGTACGGTACCACAGTTGATGACAGACAAGAAAAGGATCTTTTGTATCTTTCAAATCTTTCTCGAGCCAACCTTTTGACGCAATCAAGGCTTCCCAGGAACCCTGCCACATTTTTTATTCAGCATCAGTTCCGCTCCAGCAACAATTAATTGAACTGGTATCGAAGATTATTAAAAGCGCCACCATTCCTTCCATAAAATCAAATCAAATTTGATGGCCTTTTCGCCTTGTCTCGAGACTAGTAAATTCCTTGTTGATACCATGAGCGACTCCAACGAAACCTCGGATTCCGCCGAGTTCCGAAAATCCTTGGAAGACATTGCCTTTAACTTTCGGTCCAATGTGGACATTAAGGATCGCAAGTATCGATTGAAAACGTACAAGCAGTGTTTCGTTGGAAGCGAAGGAGTGGATTATCTCTTGGAAACTGGACATGCTCAGACGAGAGAAGATGCCGTCATGCTCGGGAGGTCTTTGGCCCATGAATTTCATCTCTTTGAACATGGTGAGTTTGCCAAACTGCCAAAACAGAACAAGAACCCTTTCTCTTCGCCCTAGCCCCCCCCCCCCCAATCCACCTTATATTATCCTTCTTTCTTTTCTGTCAATCTTTTTTTATTTAAAGTGACCCGAGACCATGAATTTGCGGATGATTACAAATTCTACCGATTTGTGGATGCCAGTGAACGCGGCACCTTGACCATGGATGAGAAAATTGGAAAATACGTTCGTTGGTCCGACTTTTTGGCTCCCGTCGCTTCGGGGGAAGCCTTGCAGCCTGCCTTTGCCGCCAAGTCGGAAAACTTGGAATTGATTGAAAGCAAAGATCAGCATGTTATTGGTCAAGTCTGGCCTCTCGATAAATACAATACCCAGCTACTCGACAACGTTCATCCACCCAGTTGGCAGGATCCCAAAGCCCACAACGAAAAGGATGGAACCTACTCCTATGATATGGTGGTCGTTGGTGGCGGTACAGGTGGGCTCATCACGGCCGCTGGTTCGGCGGGAGTAGGAGCTAGAGTTGCCATGATTGAAGAGCACATGTTGGGAGGAGATTGGTAAGGCTTGTGGCATACGTCATTTAGTTTCGTTCGTTCACGTGTTTTTATCACTCATTTAAATGTGTCTGGTACCTTCCGTGTTGATTCAAGCCTCAATGTCGGCTGTGTCCCTTCCAAAGCCCTCATTCACAGTGCCAATCTGGCTCATACATTGAGGGGAGACATGGAACACCTTGCCGATGCAGGAATCAGCCTGGATCCCAGTGCGGTCAAGGTTGACTTTGAAAAAGCCATGGAACGGGTTCGTCGTATCCGGGCTGGAATATCCCATCATGACTCGGCCGAACGGTACAGCAAAGAACTCGGAGTCCAGATCTTTTTGGGACGTGGAAAATTCACTTCGGAACGGACCGTCGAGGTCAATGGAAAAACTCTCACGTTCAAGCGTGCTGTCATTGCCACCGGCGGATACCCGAACTTGCTTCCCATTGAGGGATTGAAAAGCCTACACGACAAGGCCACCGCCATCGACTCGGGCGAACCCCGACCAATCGTAATGACCAATGAAACCATCTTCAATTTGACCAAGAGGCCCCAGAATATGCTTGTCATTGGTGCCGGTGTCATTGGAATGGAATTGGCGCAAGCCATGCAGCGTCTCGGTTCCAAAGTCAAGGTCATGGGGCGCTCTGGACGAGTGCTTCCCAAGGAGGATGCAGATTTGGCCCAGGTGGTCAAGGATCAAATGATCAAGGACGGTGTTGAGTTTCGTCTCGATGTTTCCGAGTATCTCAGGATCGAGATGACGGGCGAAGTGTTGGACAATGGGTATCCCGAAATGAAGTTGGCTGTCATGGAGAAAGGCAACGACGAAGTCGTAGAGTTCAAATTTGATGCGCTCTTGTTGGCCGCGGGACGTCGCCCCAACGTGACTGGCATGGACTTGGAAGCAGCCAAAGTGGACTACGATGTCAAGAAAGGACTTCTTGTGAGCGACAAGTTGCAAACCACCAATCCGCGTATCTTTGGAGTTGGAGATTGCTGCTCCGAGTTCAAGTTTACTCACGCCGCAGACTTTATGGCTCGCGCAGTAATTCGCAATGCATTGTTCTTGGGCAAGGAGAAAATGTCCAATCTGCTAATCCCATACGCAACATTCACCAGCCCAGAGATCGCCAGCGTCGGCCTTTACGAATCGGATCTCAAAAAGAAGGGTATGGAGTTTCGAGTCTTTGAAAAGCACTTCAAAGATAACGATAGGGCCATTTGCGATGGTAAGACGGCTGGAATGGTTCGTTTCCGAGTGGATGCCAAATCCGACCGGATTCTGGGCGCATCCATTGTTGGAGAGGGCGCCGGAAATATGATATCGGAAGTGACTTTGGCAATGCAGTCAGACACCGGCATGACTGCTTTGGCTGCGGTGATCCATCCCTACCCAACAACCGCTGAGGCCGTTCGACAATCTGGGGACCTCTACTCCAAGACTCGTCTGACGACAACAGTTAAGAGCCTTCTTCGTGGAATTATCTCGCTTCAGCGCTAAGCGGATCCCAGCTTCACGTGTTAGATTTTGCGTAGTGAAAAGTGATTGATAAACTGTCTTCATACCGAGAAAGCTAGCTAGAGTGGTGCTGGTCACCGGTAGGAGTAGTAGGCAAAGACTCAATGTTATTGTCGAGGCTATGCTGATCCTTCGTGATAGACAAATAGAATGGCGGGCTGGACATGTGCGAGCTGCATCGCTGCTGGACAATGCTGCGCAGCCACAGACAACAACAGTCCAGCGTGGCGGCTTCATGCTTCTTACGTGGAATCGCGCGAAGCTCATTCCTTCCTGGTGTTCCGTTGCAAATTGTCGACCGCTCCAGTGTTACGCATCGTTTCAAAAGCAACCAGCCAGTCGCTCGACTTGAAACACAGAGCTATCACCTGGTACACAACGCATGGGCAGTTTGCAGAGATTCGATTCTGCATCGAGATGTTTTGAGCACCTCCGGCTTCAAATCAGTCATCATTTTTATTGCCATCCAACCAACCAATTAAAGCTCCCTTTCTGGCTTTGCAATAGCTGTACGCATTCGCCACGCTAATTGCTGGGTTTTGTGAGCCGCTGCCGCAGAGGCAAGCGCTTGGCTCGATCATCTTTGGACATGAATAACGTTTGCATGGAATCATAGGCTGTGAAGGAAATGGAAAATGCAATGGGTCCCTTGGCCCAGTTCATAAGGACTCCCTTGTAGAATCCTCGAATTCCCTGCTCTCTGTAGAGATCCCGTATTGTGTTCATTAGTGTGGGCGGCGTTGTGTAAGTAGTCGTTGTCGTGACAGTAGTAGCAGCAGGAACGGGTCCACCAAGACTGGAAAAGGCCGTCATGTCATTCCCAAGAACGCCCAGTGTCTGCATTCGACGTCGCGTCACTTCAATGGGATACGTCAAAGTCTGAGCAATTAGGCCAGCAAAAGCTCCACAGATCATGCGCTCAATGGTGGTCAAGTCTCTACCGGTTACATAAGCAATTTCTTTCTTGCCCTGTTCGTTGATTGTGAATGCCAAGCCCGAATAGGGAAGAATCCCAATAATGGTGGGTGTAATGCCTCGAAAGAGTCCCACAGCACCCCGTCGTTGGTAATTGTCTTTCAAGACTCCCATAAAGGATTTGGTTTTGGCACCCTCATCACCATATTTGTGCTTTTTCAATACCGCCAATTGTGCTCGTGTCAAGTCGAGTGGATAAGTACAAATGACAGAACACGTGCCAGCTGCCATGCCCGCGATGAGTGATTCCATGGGTGTCAATCCAAATTTGTTGCTGTCAGTGGGTTGTTGAGAAGTTCCAAAGTAGGAGTGTCCTTGCTGATCATGATGTTGCAAGAAGAAACTCTTGATTCTGTCATAAATGGCAAACTGGATGCCACTGTAGGGGAAGACACGTACCATGGTGGCAATGTTTCCCTTCCAGAGCGCATCCACGCCTTCCGTCTGAACGATGCGTCTCATGACCGTCGGGACCGAAGATAAGTGAAAGGGAACATTGGACACTTGGTATAGAATCTTGACTCGGTCCAATGGCGCCACCACCGATTTGGCAGTCATCCCTGCCAGCCCTCCTGCCAATAGGTTTCGTACTTCTTTGGGCAGCTGGTGAACCTGTTGTTGGACTGCCACTCGCCAAGAAGAAGAGCCAGTTGCATCAGGAGGTACCTCGAGCAAGCTGCTGCTTGCCACCTCTTCGTCTTCTTCATCCTCAAAGGTCGCTTGATTTACACACACGTCTTCGGGATCATCCAGCTCTTGAGGGATTGTCTTGCGTCGCTGTATCGTCATCTTGGCATAGGTCGACAACTGGGCTGAGTTGTGAGTTGTCGGAAGGACAAGCAAGTATGTATGTGAGTTGGTTGGAAGTTGGTTATTCGCTTCGATTCTCGAGAAGCCCAATTTTTCATTTGGCCATCGCGTTAAGTCTTTCGTGTCGGGCTTTTCAAGAAAGATACAACGTGGGCGAATTCGTTTTTGCCAACGGTCAAATCTAACTTGTCAATCTCACAATGCCACCTCCATCAAGAGAGAAGAGAGAACTCATACATCGTATAGCTGAGAAAGACTGGAGTATAGTTCTGATCCCACCATGGTACCACCAAGACCCACCAATAGAACACCATCACGTCCTCTGTCGGACGTGACAGCTCCCGAGAGTCAAGTCAGCTTGCTGCTGGAGGAGGATCTGAATCTTGCCGGACACCCTGTTGTGAACAATCGAGCTGCAATTCGGGTCAAGCAAGAACGGCAGCTCCACCGAGAAATGCTCAAGTTCATGGGTCGTCCCTACTGGGTTAGATCCAGTGCCTGGACTCTTCCAATGGCCATGCTTGTCGGTGTCATCTTGGGAGTGTCCTCCTTTTGCCTACTGCAATCCAGCACCTTTTTCCGACTGCACCCCAAACCCAACACAGAACACCTTGGCATGGGATTCTCTCTCCTGCTACGACTGACATTGGGTGGATTTCTCGCGGGAATTTGTCTCTATGCCCTTCCATCCTCGCCACGCATCATTCGACATTTCTACCATGATTTGGTCGACCTGCAATTGGATCCAAACCGCAAGCTATATTCGGCGAGAGAAGCCTTTTGGTTGGTCTTTGGGGGATGGATTTTGCTGGCAGCTGGAGCTCCTCTAGGACCTGAAATGGTCTGGACGGCTTTTGCAAGCCTACTCGTGACAATCTTTCGAACACATGGGGGATTCTCCAAACGATACCATCGACGAACCGTGGCCAGTTGGCTACAAGCAGCTCTAGCTGCCAGCTTGGCCTGTATCATGCCGTCACTGCTGGGAACTTTAGTGGCTGTTTTGGAATTGACAATTACAGCGCGTCCACACGACATGACACTGGATGCCGCCCTATTGCAAAAACGAGCACCCAGTCAAACAAATCATAGCAGCAATGACAACGGCAACAATGAAACTGCAGACAATAATCCACAGTTGCAAGCACCATTGATATCCAGTCAAGGAACCATCTATCGACCCAGTCGCCATCTGTCGTCTTTGGAACATGACTTTATGGAACTGCTATTCCTCTCGACAATCATGGCTGTGTGTGCCTCCACGGTGCATGTCAAGCTGCACGAAGTTGTGGGAAAACAATCCAATGTTTGGCAAGACTTTCAGCACACTCTATTGCCCAACCCACAGGGTACCATTGCCGTACATTATCTATTGGCAATCCCCTTGGGTATCGTTGGTGGAATCATTGGTACTTTGACACTACTTCTGGCAGCCATGAGTCGACGGATACGGTCCAAATTCTGTCGTGTCAACAACAACAACAATAAGCCGTCCAAAAAAGCACAAGTCTTCTTGTCTGTCGTGGCGGGAGGCGTAGTCACCTCACTTTGTTTGCCTCAACTGGAATGGATGGACCTGACGGAAGGTGCCAGTGATGGAAGTCTTTTGAGTCTGGAGCTATTACGGCACCAAGACTCTATCGGTGCCTGGACCCTGGTGATCATTGGACTCTGCCAAATTGTCATTCTGGTGGTTTCCTTGGGTTTTGGAGGGTGGTTGGGTGGAGTGATATTCCTTCTCACCAGTGTGGGGGTATGTTGCGCTCTGGTGACATCCAAATTGTTCCTGGCTCTTCCAATGTCATTGGTGGTTCCCTGTAGCATTGCATCCGTGATTGGGTCCATCATTCCCGTTCCTTTTGCAATAGCTATTTCATTGGTTCAACTATTTGGCTTGCACGTTGAGAATGGTGGGCCTGTGTTGGTAGCAGCACTTGTTGCACACGGTGTAACAGGAGGTTTGGGGCTGACGCGGTACTGTGGACGAAGAATGAGTGGACTGCGGAGCGGATACAACTCTGAAGAGGAAGAAGAGGAGGAGCTCGTGGAACAATTCTCTCTTATTCCCACAGATGATGAAATAGTAAGGGATATCAGGTCGCAGATATTTGGAAGGGGGTCGTTGACGGTATGAGAACGACATATGGTTGCATGGCCAACAATGGCAATTCATTAAGTCTACCGTAGCATCTAATTTGGTTGATTACTGCACTATGGTCGCTAGATGACGGGGTCTGGAATATCGAATAATTTGATTGTGTTTTTGACCAAGTACTGATACTCCTCCAAAGTCATTTGAACGGCTTCAGCCGATCTTGGAAGTTGTGGTCTTGCAGGATTGTCTGCGTGGTCCAGGAACAAAAGGATTTCTATCAAGATACATGTCAACGCCTTCCAGTGTTTGGTATCAAGCTTTGCCGCTGGTCGAGAAAAGTTGAACGTGTAGACGAGTCCCTGCAACCGTTGCTCTGCCATTCGTTTCATTTCCGTTCGCTGTCCCAACTCAGCAAGGCATCGTGACATGTACATTCGTACCATGGCCATGAATCCACTGGATCGCGAGGCTTCTATATCATACATAGGGGTTGCCGAGATCAAATTGTCCCCGCTACCCGATTCATGAATCCTTTGGATTCGTTTCATGTAGATAATCGATTGATGAGTGACCAAGGGTGCTAAGCAATCCCATAGAATCCGAAAGGCACGGGGTTTGGCGGGGGGTTGTTCTTCTTCCGACTCATCGTCACCAAGACCCAGCAAATCAAAGAGACCCTCTCCATCGTCCTCACTGTCATAGCCATCCATGGTAGTGTCGTCTTCGTTGCCGTCATTGACTGGATCCGTCCCTGTATATCCCACCTGATCCAGCGAATGAGGCGTGTCCCATTCCACTTTTTTTGGGTTTGATTGTTGCTGTTTTTCTTGTTCCATCTCTTGCTGTTCCATTCCTTGTAGAATGAGTCCCTTTTGAAAATCCTCTTGGGTCATGCAAGAGAATGCCAAGTCGGCCTCGACTACCTGTGCACTTTGCAAGTTTTGGGATGGCAGAGTTCCGGCAGCTTCCATCATGTCAGCAATAGAATTGAATACTAAAGGTTCTTCTTTTTCTTCTTCTTGCTGCTTTTCTTCCTTTGATGATGTGGTGTTGCCTTCGTCTATGTTGTTATCATCAGATGGTTTATTGCTGATGGTTGGTTTCGTGTTGGGTTTCTGCGTGCTAATCCTCTTGTTATAGTCCATGACTGGTTCGTATCCCTCCACGGCCATGGCAGAAGATTTGTCGGGAGGATTGAATTGTGGATGTGAGGGTACCACGGTGGGATCGCGTTCCGTGATGCGACCTTGCTTGAATACAGACGCCTTTTTCTTTGGCTCGGGGATTATTACTTCTTCGCGGTCGGAATACAATATCTTTGGCTCCTTCACGACGGGTTGTGGATTGTTGGAGTACTTGGGTGTCTTCAGAATGCTCTTCAAATTTTTGGGTTTTGCCGCCAAAGTAGATTTTGTTTCGTTTTGAGCATCCCGCATGGGAGCATCTTCCGATATCCCCCCAGCAGTATCATTTGCAATAGGGGTAGCAATTTCCAAAGTTGTGGTAGCCTTTGGTGTGACTGGAGGAGCGACAGAGCCTTCGGTGGACACTACAATCTCTTTCATGGGCGGCCCTCCTTCCTGCTTACTACTATTACCGTTGTCCCCTACACCCACCCATCGTTCCATCTTGACGCGTACATTCTCCACGGCTTGGTCGTCCTGGATGGGCGGTGGGCCAGGAGCCGCAGCGGCATCAGTTCTTGCTTTTGCAGCCTTTCTCACCTTAGGGCGAATGTGGCCAGTTGTCATCTTGGTCGAGTCGGACGATTGTGGATGGGATCAAATGGGGAAACTGTTGTCCGTGTCGATTATTGTACTAGGTAGTACAGACACACACCAGTCCGCCGCCATGGACAACACCTCCAACCAAACGTGCGGTCAACTGCGAAGGAAGGATGTGCATCACAAATGCTCTTCGATGAAAAGTAATGTCCTTAATAAATCTTTGTGCTTTGTCTCAAAGATGAAAAGAAATTTTTGAATCCACGTTCGCGCTCCACGCTTCGAGGACTGCAAAGAAAAGTTTGGTACTGGTACTAGTACGAACATAAAACCAGCAGCGATGCAGGGCAACCAACAACAGCAACGCCGATGGAATGAGCGCTGTTAACCCCCCTAGCAATAGAATGGTTGTTGATTATGATAACACCATTGCTCCTTGAAGATCCCTGAATGTTGCAGCTTTGGAGCAAGCATCGATTGCTCGCTCGCTCCGTGATTTGCAACTTCGGGGCCTCATTCACAGGAGGGCAGAGTCGAGTCACTGAGTCGGAGACAAGCTTTTTGGTTTCCTCAAGGACGCGCCAGATGCTGCTACTGGTGAATACGAAAAAAGTCGAGCTTGAAAAAATTGAATCGTTGGAACGATCTACAGACTCTATGATGTCTGAGGTGGATGACAAGATTGAAGCAGAATCAAATGTCCTCCACCCTTTGGAACCGTTTGGGGTAGAAAGTATTTGAACAACCCCGGTAGGATACGCAGCTGTTCCCTTTCCAGGTTGGGCACTCTCGTTTTGGATACCAGCACGACGTTGCTTTTGTGGCGAAGACTGACGACCAACAGTCAACCCCTGAAGCCCAAACTAATCTCGGTTACTTTCCAGCACCTTGCAAAAAGGAACTCAGCATGACTTGAACTTCCAATCTGGATATTTCATCATCAGAATATGATGCATGCCCCGTGGCTGCGAATGTCCATCCGACGCATCCAACAGAAGCATGCCGCAGCAATCCCGTTCGTCGGTCAGCGGCTTGGTGCTGTCAGCGAGCTCTTTGACCGGGGTCATACCGTGACCGATAGGATACCATCGAATCGAATCAAATCCTCTGGAGTCCTTTCCAAACTCATGATATGGGCTGGCAACGGACATCCTGCACTGTCGGCTCTCGGACCGATTGTTACGGCAGGGCCCTAGCCCACTTTCTCCCAAATCAACCACCCGGCTCTGTGTCGATAGAAGAGCACCCCTTCCCTGTCGTCATCAAAACTACATGGTTTTAGATCCCAAGGAGACTCTCGAAGTATCTTGGTGACAACTTCCATTTCCTTGGTCCTTCCAAAAATGCCTTTCCAGCCGAATCGGACCTGATTCTTGTCCCAAACAGCCTTCTCCTGGGACCATTCTCCTGTGTTGTGTGTATTCATAGGGAAGATGCCATAGAGTCGAAAGTAATCTTCCATGTAGCATTGTCCATCCTCCTCCAGTACCAAAATAGAGTCTTTGGCAAAGCGCAACTTGGTCAGGCCTCGTTTTTGTGCAATCATGCCAATGTATTCTTCCACATTGACAGTTTCTCGATAGACGAATCGATATCTTCCCGGCTTCAGTTTGGTTTCCGAGGAGGTGGAGGATAGACTGTCTTTCAAGAACTCTTGCCAGGCCAGTCTGTCGTGAAGATCTTGTACCACGCTGCATGATTTCTTGGCTGACAATAGTTTGGAGATGGATGTATCTTTGGGTGTGGCCCAAGCCGCTTTGGGAGCAAAAACTTGGATTTGCTGTTGTTCCCCCACATGGACCACCATGGATTTGGTTCTTTTTCCCGCGACGAACCAGCCAGTTTCCAGTGTCTCTCCTTTGGTGGACCCTTCCCAGAGCAAATCCCCCGATTCTTGAATATTGGATATTTGCTCCATTGGAATGCGCTTCATTTGGGGAATGAGAGAGGGTAGTTCTGTTGCAGCATTCTGTGTATTCATGGATGACACTTGCGCCAGCACTTGGATCGATAGGAATGTGGGCCGCAACGACCGTTTCAAGAGGGCATCATAGAGCAGGTACGAGACAGAGCACCCGGCTGCTGCTGCCCATGGTACTAGTAGGTTATTGTCGCCGTTTGGACCCATCGCGGCAACGAGTGGGGCCAAAGCAGCGACTGTCAGTAGGAGGATGTTGGTTCTTTGGAACATCGTTTTTGGTATGGATGTCCTGATAATCGACTTGACTTTCCGTTTTGGCAATGTCGATCCAAGATCCGTAGGTGGATGGAGGGGGATTGGATCCAAAGATCCGAAGGGATGCAGGTGTCAATAATGCATGGTACGATAACCCTGACACTAATGTGCAATGTTGCGCCAATTTCACGAGACGCTACCCTTCAAAGAGCGGCCCAGCAGTTCTATGCATAAGGAAAAGCTCATGGTCTAATGGGGGTTTAGAGTAGGTGGATTATCTACGGAAACCAGCGAGTGCCAGGCTCGGGCAAAGAAGAGTCAAAATTCAAGACTACGTTCAGGGGATCGGGGGAGGAATCAATCGAGACCATTACGGGGGCCAAAGGGCTTGGCTTTGTGGGATTCACGGAGACATAAATGAGTAGCTTTCACAAGGGCAAGCAATGGAGATGTGGGTCTGCACATGCATGAAGAACACCATTTGAGAGTATGAGAACTGAGTTTTGTTGGCAGTGATAGAAGCAAGGCGCTGTAAGAGAATCTTGGCTTGGGAGGTGGAAGGAGGCGCGATTGGATTCGCATGGGGCTTTTGTTCTAAGGAAACTTTGATGTTTCGGAACAGACACACCAGGATTTGTAAGTAATTGTTGGTCCAATGCGGTTGTCGTGTGTCGTGTAAGAGTAACACCCATACGGTATTCTTCGGTGCTCCACATGCCCACGATAGATCTCAAGCTTGCTTTGCTGGACTACGGGTACCTTTCTTGGCTTCCCAGATAAATCCTGCATTGGTCAAATCTCTAATTCGATCGTTCGATAGAGAGCCTCTTTTCCACTCACTTCGCCGGTTGCCTGCCCAATGGCCTAACTTCTTATCCCCTTCGTAATGTTGTGGTATCCACCCATGTCCTTTTTGGTTAATGTAGTCAACAACCCGTCTCAGCATCTTTCTGAACTCGGCATCATGCAGCTCTTGCGTGGCTTTGAACGTTGCTGTCGTTTGAATTCAAAGTCAATCGAACGAAGGAGTTCCATTCGTTTCTGAGAGAGTTTTCCCAAACAGAATTCGGTTCGTTGCCTTTCAACCCATCGACCAAGCTTATCATGCTGAGAGGGAGTTCTATGTTTTCCTCGAGGAGATGGGACGTTGCAATGGCCATGTTTTCGCTTGTACTCTGTCAACCGTCCGAACAGAACCTCCCATTGTTCTCTCTTGGTGGCAGTGGTATACGATTGCATGCTGTAAGAGTACTGTAATCTAATGGGTTGTCTGCTACTGCTTGCGGCGTGCTGTTACACAGATCTGTGACAAAAGACAACAATGACAAAAGACGACAAAGTCAACAATGACAAAATCCGTAACCCTGACACTAATGCGAAATCTTTCGCCATGATTTCCCACGTCTCGTCTCTCACCTTCATTTCCCGCGCCCACAGCCATTCATCGCAACCAAACACCATGATCAGAGAGAGAAGCACAATGGAGGGTCAAGAAAGAGACCAAGACAAAGAAGCATCAGTTTCCTTTCGATCAGTACTTCCTCATGAGCCTCTTCCCGCCGATTCCTCGGGGTATATTCATGTCCAAGGAGCGCTGGAACCCAAACTGAAAAAGGATAAAGGAGATGAGGGAAAACCAAGTGCCAATCAAGACCAAGCAGACTATTATTGGACCAAGCAAGGACTGGAAGAAGCGCTGCATGAGGCATTGACCAAGATCTGTCAAGGATCCGCTCTCCAGAGCGTCTCTGTATTGGAAGATAATTCCTCCCCGCCCTACACCAAAGTGCGCCTTTCTTATTCCTCTCCCCTGGCGGCCCTAAAAGTCGTCCAATACTTTCGAGCCGAAAAGGTATCTGCTCACGATTTATTATTGGTGTCTCCAAATAATGATAATGAGGAGGCCACGATGACAAGTCACTGGCAATTTGCCGCTCGGCCCCTGCAGGCCACCTTATTGACCACCCAACCCTTCTTGTCGACGCAAATGGCATGGAATCGATCCAATCCGCCCAAATTTCGGAGACTCATTGCAAGACCAGGAGAACCCGTCGAACTTTTGCAGCAAGAACGACAAATCACCCGCTACGTCTTCCTGTCGGGGTTGGTAGATACTACCAACAAAAATAATAACAATCCACCATGGTGGGACAATTCAAGACAAGTCTGTGAGGCCATTCGATCGCAGCTCCATGTCTACGATACTTCGGGAAAGGGGATTGAACTCTACATTTCCAACAAAAAGAAAACTAGCAATCGAACAACTCATTTCTGTCATGTGGGAATGAGATCACCGGAGGATGCCAGAGCTCTCATGGCAGGTCTGCAGGGAAAAATACTGACATGGAAACAACCGTGCGACTGGAATGATACTTCTACATGTACTACAGAACAACAGCAACAACAACAGCAACAACAACCAACCATTCAAAGTGACAAACTATTCTTGGACTATGCTGCCGTCACAAAACGATCCGAAGCCAAGGCCACTGCAAAGGCCACGGGGGAAGATCTCGTCAAGGGAGAAAAATCGCGGAGCGAATGCACATCCGTCACAAAGCATGTCGTAGTACCCGGGTTGGTATTGATCACAGACTTTATCACGCCACAAGAGGAACAAGTCTTGCTCGCTGCATTGACAGGACCCACGGCTCCGTGGGCACCGTCGCAAACAAACTTTAGCAATAGTGGAGCCGTCAAGCGGCGTGTGCAACATTACGGGTACGTCTTTGACTACGAGACGGCAAATGTCAACCGGGATCGATCTCAGCCAGGATCCGATTGTCCGCCCATGCCGGGGATGCCCCCCAGTGATATGTCGTCGCTGGAAGCTTACACTGAAACGTGCACGGCCGAAGGTCGGGGGTGGGAACTCATGGCGGGTATTGCCGAGAGAACACGACGAACGACGTTTGAAATCCAAGCCAAGGATGACGACGAGGAGGAACAGCAAGGACAATCCACCATCACGAAACAATTCCCAAAACTGAACCAAATCACAGTCAACGTCTACGAACCAGGAGAGGGCATTGGATCACACGTCGACACGCCATCGGCCTTTGATGATGGGTTGATTAGTGTTTCCCTCAATGGTGGAGTGGTCATGGAGTTTCGTCGCCAACAGCAGCAGCAAGATGACGAAAAGATTAAAAAGCTGGTCTACCTGCCACCGCGATCACTTCTTCTCATGTCGGGCCCAGCACGATTTGAGTGGGAGCACATGATTGTCACGCGCATGACTGATACGCACGAGGGAGTTGTGTTGCACAGAAGCCGACGAGTCAGTATGACTCTTAGAACAGCCATAGATCTTTCGGGAGAACCCATGCCATGTGTCTCCTCTACACGATTTCCGCCAGTGTGGGGAACAGTTGGTCAATCCGCCACAGATGCCCTGGTAACGCCGTCCATGGAACGGGAACATGTCCACGCCGTCTACGATGCAATCGCTACTCAGTGGCATCACACCCGAGGAAAACGGGGAGTCCTGTGGCCGGGAGCTACTCAGTTCTTGAAAGAACTACCGGAAGGATCGATCGTCGCTGATGTGGGTTGCGGCGATGGCAAATACTTCCCTGCCATTTGGGAGGCAGGATCCTATGTGATTGGTTCCGACATTAGTTTGCCACTTTTGCAACAGGCTACTCATGCACACCAGCAGGACGCTGCATCGCAACCGGACAGCCGACGAGTCAGCGAGCATCGGCAGCATCTTCAAAAGAAGCCGGCAGTTTTAGTTGCTGACTGCATGAATGTTCCGCTTCGATCCAAATCTTGCGACGCAGCCATATGCATTGCCGTCATGCATCATTTGAGTACACGAGACCGAAGAATACGATGCATTTCGGAGCTCGGCAGGATTGTTAAAGTGGGCGGTCTGATCAACATCCAGGCTTGGGCAATGGAGCAGCAGGAGAAGAGTAAACGCAAATTTGCTGGCACTGACGTCTTCGTTCCCTTCAATGCCCAGCCAAAATATCTGGAGGCAGCCAAGAACACCGCCATTGCCACCGGCATGCACCCAGACCCTGGCAAAAGCACTGCACAACTCTACTCAGAAGAGTACAACGCTGATTATGACGAACAGAAAGGCTTGGTTGTTTTCAAAAGGTATTGTCACATGTATCGAACAGGGGAACTCGAAGAACTTGTACAGGAGGTGGACACGGTTGAGCTTTACGAGAGTGGCTATGAAAGTGGCAACCACTTTGTGATTCTTCGTGTTGTCACATGAGGCCTCTAAAAGCACCCGGCAGATGTCTACTTTAAACATATCAAGGTGCACAGTCGCGAAGCTACCACTTCGAAGTTGCAAAAAGGCCCAAGGCTGCCAAAAAGAGACCGTTTGTGAGTTGGAGCATTCCGTTGAAACAACCCGAGCTGTTTTTTTCGGTGGTGGAAGTAGTAGCAGTCGTAGGAGTCTCTTCGAACTCGGGTTGACCGCCTGTGGACGAAGTACGGCTGGGGCGGTAGACATCATAATTACGGACTTCGCGTTCCCTATTTGGGTCTCCAAAATCAGATGCATACACATTCACCGTGACTGCATCCGCAGAAGGGATGAGGTTCACGACCTGAGACGTGTTGGTTGTGAGGATGTTGTAGTTGAGTTCCGTGGTCCACTCGATGATGGTTTGGTTGAAGCCTCCAGGAAGGAGGGTCAGGTTGCGCTCCTGAATGTAAGCATCAATCTGCACCAGTGGCATCAGCACACCACCATTTTCCCTTGGTTGTTCAAAATATGTATTTCCATCATTGATGTAGAGTGCAAGGTTGTCATTGATTCGCCCAACCGTCTCATTGACGGAGAATACCAGATAGCTGTAGACCGCCCCCAGCCCAAACCAGTAATCAGCATCAAAGAGTAAGTAGTCGACAAAGCCAAGTTTGGAGGCTGCTTCGCGCTTGTCTTCTGGGAAATACATTACAGGAATTCTTCTAGCACCGTCGCCTACATCAACAACATAGAGCGCCTCAAACTGGGCAGTGTCGCTAAAGTCTTGAATGCGTTTGGAAACTTCGCTTCCGTCGTTAACGCCAGCGTTGAGAGCCTCAAGCTGGTCATTGAAACTGACGTTCAGAAAGTAGAAATTCTGATCCCAGCTGGTGGAAAATGTGGATCCCTGAAAGACACCTTTCAAATCACCACCTTTGAGATACAAGTATTCATCACTGTTGGGTGTGAGGCCACGTGATTCAAGAAGGGGCTTGAGGGGAGTACTGAGGTCAATGGCATACTCAACAGTCACATCATCAACCTCAGGTCCAATTTCAGCTGTGACTTCGAATTGATTAGTCCCCAGGTTGAGTGTCCCCGTATCGTCGTAGATGAGAGAGCATTGGGTTCTGGCATTGCAATTTCAGGGACAACAGAAGGCCCAGCACAAACGGTCTCTGCTCCTCCAGACCCCGGGTTTGGGTTTGCAAGGAACCACTGCAAAAAGGCTCGGAAGTTTGGAGCAGCAAGGGTGGAATAAGTGGAGCTACCGAAGAGGATGACATCAAAGGTTGCCTTTTGTGCGTTGTAGACATGCTGCTGGGGCCAGAGAACATGCATACCCGTGCCCACAGCTGTGCCAGGACCATTGCCAGAAGTAACGAACATGTCTGTGTAGGCACTCTGGGCCATCTGAAAACTTGTACCCAGCTCACCTACAGGATTGCAAAGATGAGCCAGGAAAGCCATCCAACTCCCAATATCCATACTGGTGGGCTGGCGGGCACCAAGAGAATCCAGTGTTCCTTCGTAGGAAACAGCACTAGTTCTGGATCTTGCTGCAGAAGTATGGAGTGTAACATCACCTGCTTGCAGAGCCGGAAGGAACAGCCCCATAAAGTCTTCAAAAGCTTCCAAGAAAGTAAAAAACTTTTGGAGATCCAAAATGGCCAAGGTCTTTGGTGCCTGATGGGCCCTGCCCTGAGTCTGGCCCAAAAATGTAGAAACTACCTCTTGAGCAAGAGTCAGAGCATTGGGAGCATTGTTTAGGTACTGGTACGCCCAGCCGTGTCCTGGCTCCAGTGCTTCACTGGCCAACAAATAAACTGCAACATCAGCCGCTCCATAATCATCCGCTGGGAGGAGTGAGAAATGCAATTAAATTCACAGCAATGAGGGCAACTTGTCATGGCAATTAGGGAATCAAAAGAAAAGAAACGAGATTCAAAACAATACCTGCTCCAAAAGCCATCATGTTGCAGGCATCAAAACCAAGGACATCCAGTTTGCGGCCTCCAGCAGCATTGTCCAAGGCACTCTTAATAGCAAAAGCAATGTTTTGATTGGTCTGAGGGACAGCTTGGAGCTCCCGTCTTCCTGGGTTCCAATCTCCACCATATCCATAGAATCCACCAGCATGGGAGGAAAAGACAGCCATTAGACTTTCATACCCATTATCCAGGCAATCCCTCATGGCAGTTTCCAAAAATGTCTGGATGGTATCGACTGCATTGGAATCAATCTCAGTGTCAAATTGACGGACCACACGTGCATACCCAACAGATCTATCATAGAGAATGTAGCGACTTCCAGCGAAGGCGCCAACGGGGCTATCATTTGCGTCCAGGGTGTATGGAAGAGTATCTCCATTTAAGGCATCCTAATGTTTCTCAAGAGTACGGTAGGTTAGCAGGAGGCAAAGAGCATGCAACATACTAGTAGGAGCATCCCGTTGTATGCCCGCACTCACATAGTAGACCCACAGTCTCAAATCTTCACCTCGAGCCACTGGAGAAGACACCAATTCTACATAGTCTTGTCGAATAAAGTGCTCCAAGTCGTTGTCGGCCAACTGGTACATCATCAAGCAAATCTTGGCATGAGCGATATGAGGCAACACGCCCAGCAACAGGGGCACTATCATGAGCTTCCTCATGGCAACGACTACAGTTCGTACCGGTACGATGCGTGCAGATCGATCCAAGCAAATTATGATCATGGCCATGTCCGCGGAAAGGTGGGGCCGACGCGTCTACGAAAGCAAGTCTGAACAGAAGTCTGACCGCCAAAGGAGGTGTCGCGTTAAGAAAGATATTAGCCTGCGGAGTGATTGAAACAAAGGAATGAAGGGATCTTTGGAAGGGAAACAGGAAACGGCACGGAACTCTTCGCCGTGCCATTATTGTGGACCTGCGGTTGTTGAGATTGGATGCTTGCCATTGGAACAGCACATACCGTTACTCCTTACAGGTGCTCTAAGAGACTCCTCCTTTCCGTTTCTAATAGGCTGATCAAGGCAACCATGGTGACAACGAGAAGGAGGGCTGCAACGACAGCGAAGCAAGAAGGGGATCTCTCAACGTCGGCTACCCAGAGCAAACCAGAGAATGTACCAGTAATGCCGGTAGCACGCCAAGCCTCTGCCCAACAAGCCTTGTCTTCTGTAAAGGAGGATCAACAAGAAAAAATGTCTTCAGCTTCTTCAACCCAGGGCGATCAGGCTCGAGCCTTTGAGGTGATCCATCAATTATTGCAGGATGCTGCCATTACAACCACCATGACCAAAGCAGGCTGGTGCCTACGACAAGGCATGATTCACATCACGACAGTCGACAATGGACGATTGTTCAATTTGGTACAAGAACAAGGACCTCCTTCGTTTTATCACTCGCTTCAGACGTCATGCCGGCATGAACCCACCGACAATATCAAAGCGCCCGACACGTGCTTTCAGTCCCTCTGTCGCATCATTGCGGGTCAACAACTGGCTGGAAAAGCCGCTCAATCGATCTGGAAGCGATTGCTGGAAACGGTACAGCACAATCTGACTCCATCCACGGTACTCCAAAAGGCAGCAGGAGGCAGAGACTTGGAAGACAGACTGCAAAAACCAGCGGGGCTTTCACGGGCCAAGGCTCGGTCTGTTTTGGATTTGGCACAACGATTCGAACAACAAGAATTGTCCGAAGACCTGCTCCTGGATCCAAACAAAACGGAGGACGAAATACGACAAGCCTTGCTGAAAGTCAAAGGTCTGGGACCGTGGTCTTGTGACATGTTCATCATGTTCCATTTGGAGAAACCCAACGTATTCCCATTTGGTGATTTGGGAGTACGAAAGGGAGTAGCCAAAGTCTTTGAAATCAAAAATGGCAAGGGAAAACATGGCTCCCTCTGTCAAAAGAAGGATTTGGACCGATGCCTCAAATCTGTGGAACCCTATCACCCTTACCAAAGCTTGATGACCTACTACATGTGGAGAGCCGCCGATATCAAGGATGTGTACGGGGATGACAGTTCGAAAAACAAAAGCACAGCGAGCAGCAAGGAGGCAGCAAACAACAACGAAGAGGAATTCGCTTCTGCAACAACCGAAGAGACGCCAGCAGTGTCTCGAAAGCGAAAAGCACGGACAGTAACTCCGTAGTTGTTGAAACATCATGACGAGTGCAACCTCATTCGTTTTGGGGAGTGGTGACGAAGTTCGGACCTTGGTGATATAAAATTCTGGTGTCTGGGGCTTTTCTATACGTGTGCCTTCATTTAACCAAGTTATCCATCTCAATAATACTAGTATATTCATTCCTTACTACGCGAGGACTGTTATTTGTACAGCCAGCAAAGGCTGGCATAGCCCCTCTCTTACGCCCTGCCACCTGCGTATTGTACAACTCTCGTTACTCATGGAAGCAATGCCTTCATGTAGTCGAACATGACAGGTCCCTGTCCGCTCATTTCAGCAATCATGAGGACGCATTCAAATCCAATCAGGACCACAATCACCCATTCCAGTGAGGCCGACTTTTGGTGTTGCAGGACTTCGAGGAACAATTTGGAGTTCTGTTGGATCAGATCCAGCTTGAATTGAATCAGTTCGAAGCGATCATTGATATCAAACTCGAGTGTCAAGCCCGAATGAATGACTTCATATTCTCCCTGATCCCATGCAATTTGATTTCGTTTCTTGATACGGATTTTGGAAATCAAGTCGATAAAGATGCGATTGTTTTGGGCAATCTTGCTGAAGAGCATTTGCTTATCCAAGTCCATTCGGTTTGTCGTGGAAATTTTGCTGTTGATGACGGCAAATTTTTCCAACAAGGCGTCCACAATCTCATTGTAGGATTCCAAGGCGACACTCTGTGCCATGACTTCGGAAATGACGGCAACGGCATTCATGTTGAGATTGGGTACGATGCAGTGTTCCGGTGTCACTCGTGTCCCCGGTGCATCTGGCATGATGCAAACTCCAAAGGTATCCTTTTGTTCAAAGCCATTTGCCAGTGGTTCCAGCGCGTGTTTCTTGATGGTCTTTAACATTTGCGCCTGCGTCCGTGGCGAGACATTGAAAAAGATGACGGAACCGAAGCGATAGACGGCGACATAGCTTGGATTGGCAGAACTCTGTGCAGATTTGGAGGATAATTGTATCAAAAGATTGTCCTTGTTGTACTTTCGGCGGGTTGCATCTTTGGCCATGTCGGAAACGATGAGAGGAGCCAAGTCCACCGTTTTGGCGGCATAGAAGGCTTCGACGACGGCAATAGTTCCTTGCTGAGCTTCAACGAGTTCATGTTCGGTTTCTACCGACGATGAAAATTCACCAATTACCGTTGCATCTGCGAATTGTTCTCGTGGGGTTGCCATTCTTTCATAATCCTGAGATGCTATTGTTTGCGGCTGCCGCTGCGGTTGTTGTGTCTTCAATTGCTCCAAAATGGGTAGCATTTCGTTATCCAAACTAGGGAACTCATCCCTCCCCATTTCAGATGATACAGGAGTGGGTTGACGACGTGGTTTTATCCTCTGTGTAGCTGCCTTTGTGATATTCGTGTTGGACGTCAGCTGTTGGGGAGATATCATGGCGGCACTGCTAGAAGACTGAGCACGAATCAATCTTCTGCTGGCAGGAGGCTTCAATGGCATCTGGTTGACTGGGGAGCTCGTGTGATACCCTCGACATTGCTGTTGCCAAGATAATGCACCCAATTGGCCATTTCCTCCTCTTGAAGTCGCCCACTTAGCCAATGTTCTGGAAAATGACCCATGGTCAGTACCATCCAGATTTCGTCTCGCACAAGTTTGCCTCGCCCTCGCCACTCTGCTTCCTAGCGACGCCAAACTTCTTCTTCTGCTACCGGCAATCATGAGGATAATTGGTGTCTGGCGCTGATAAGATAGCCCGTGGCTATCTAGACTACATCAACTGCTGAAAAATGAATGATGGCCAAGGAAATCTGGATTGTGAGGAATGAATTCTGCGATCTGCGAATGACGCTCGAGTTGCGAAGGCCAATTTGTGGTGGGAAGAGTGCGTGGGAGAAAGCCGTCGGATCTGCGTCACCAAAAACTTTGGTCACGGTCGTTTTCCACGCCACCGAACCACTACCTAGAGCTACCGGTAGTCCACGCTACCTTCATGTTCATAAAGGGATGTCACAAAGAAAACCATAAACTAGCTAGTCCCACCAAAACTATTGAACTGAGCAACTCGCCTTGAATGGAGTCACCATGTCTGAGCCAAGCCGCAAGAAGCAGAAGTTGATACCTGATGTTCTCTGTTTGTTGGATCAAAACGAAATCTGGGTGGACAATGTCCTTCCTTTTCTTGGGATGGGGCAGTATGCATTTGTTGGGGCTGTCAACAAGAAGATGAATAAACTCTATCTTGAATTCTGTGACTCTGAGAAGAATCCTCCATTGGTAGTGGCAATGCCTTGCAACAGTTATGAATCACGAGGAGCAACAGGCAAAGATACTTTCTACAGTGCAGCATTCTACAATCTGTCATGTGCTGTGTACTGGAAAGACAATTTCGATGATCAAGGCCTGCCAAATCATTTTGTTTGCACTGCCATTGCCAAAGCTGGAAGCCTTCCAGTTTTGAAATGGGCTCATGGAAAAGGGTATTCATGGAATGAGTCTACAAGTGTTGCTGCTGCCATAGGTGGCCATTTGGATGTTTTGAGATGGGCCCATGAAAAGGGATGTCCTCAGAGCTTTGCAATATGCTCAAAAGCTGCCATACATGGCCATTTAGAGGTCTTGAAGTGGGCTAGAAACAATGGCTGCCCTTGGAATTCATCGATTTGCCAATTTGCTGCTGGAGGGGCTCATTTGGCAGTTTTGAAATGGGCAAGGGACAATGGCTGCCCATGGGACATACACACATGCAGTGAAGCTGCTCGAGGTGGTCACTTAGAGATCCTGAAATGGGCTCACAAGAATGACTGTCCATGGGATGTAGACACATGCAACGGGGCTGCTAAAGGTGGGCAATTTGGAAGTTTTGAAGTGGGCACGAGACAAGGGCTGCCCATGGGATGCAGAAACATGCAGTGAAGCTGCTCGAGGTGGACATTATATGGTGCTAAAGTATGCCCATGAAATGGATGTCCATGGAATTCTGTGACATGCAGTGAAGCTGCTCGAGGTGGACACTTTATGGTGCTGCAGTATGCCATGAAAATGGATGTCCGTGGAATTTTGAAACATGTGGCTATGCTGCTTTGGGTGGGCACCTCAAAATATTGAAGTGGGCACGAGCGAGTGGCTGCCCATGGAATCAAAGTACATGTACCCTTGCTGCTTGTGGTGGGAACTTGGAAACTTTGAAATGGGCCAGAGACAATGGATGCCCATGGGATGCAAGCGTATGTGCCAATGCTACCGAATGTGGTCACATAGACATTTTGAAATGGGCCAGGGACAATGGTTGTCCATGGGATGAGTATACATGCTTTTTTGCAGCTACGGGTGGGCATTTGGAAACCTTGAAGTGGGCTCACAGAAATGGGTGTCCATGGAGTGCCCTTACATGCTCTGCTGCTGCTGAAAGGGGGCACTTGGAAATGCTTCAATTTGCTCGGGCAAATGGCTGTCCGTGGGATGAAGAGACATGTTCCAAAGCAGCAGAAAATGGACATTTGGAAGTTTTGAAATGGGCCAGAAAGTATGGTTGCCATTGGGATGCAGACACGTGCTCTGGTGCTGCCAGTGGTGGGCACCTAGAGGTCTTGAAATGGGCCCGCGAAAATGGATGCCCATGGGATGCAATGACATGTTATTTTGCTGAGAGTCATCCGGAAGTTTTCCAATGGGCAAAAGACAACGGCTGTGCAGAGCATTTCTTCTAATAGCATCCAAATTCCTTTAAATTACATCCTGCTGCTTATCCTGCTGCTTCTATTAGTTCTTTTTGTTGTTTTGTTCCTGCTTCATTTTGAGGTTGACTCGAGTCTTGGTATGCAGTTCCTGCAATTCATCGTCCCATCCCATCAATTGAGAGAGAGTGACAATGGCATCATCACAGTCACCTTTGTGGAAGATATCTTGCTGTAGCTTCTTGTTCTGTTTGTTGGTTTTGCCCAGTATATCAAGATTTCCAACCAGCTCTCTATTGAGCAGAACCCGCTTGCAGACGTTGCGATTGACCAGATCTGGAATCATGCTCACGGGAGCCACCTGGAGGCTTGTTCCTAGAATGATCAGAAGGTCCGCTTGTTGCAGGTCAGGTCGTAGCAGTTTGTGAAATCGGTTTGGAAGACCCTCGCCGAAGAAGACAATGTCGGGTTTCACATATCCTTTGCATTTGTCGCATGTGGGTGCCTTGCCTTCCTTGGTGATGGACTGTACCACAGAGTCAATGTCGGCAGATTTGGCACAATCGATGCAGGCAGCCGTGCGGAAATGCCCGTGGCATTCCACGATTTTGTCAGGTGGCAACTCGGCAAGCACTTCCAGCCCGTCAATATTCTGTGTTCCGCAGAAAAGGCAAGTTGAGGATGACGCAGACGTAGAGAGGCAGAGCTCGGCATATGAACAATGTGGAAAGCAATCGTACAGTATAAATCTAGCCAACGGAACTCTCACCTGTGTGTACACTCTTAGCAGTTTTCCCTTCGAAGCCAGCATGCTCATAAAGCAGTGGGTAAGGGTAGGCGAACGATTGCGAAAAGGTTGTTGTGTTGAGTGGTGCTGGAGTTTCGGTGGCCGCTGGAATTCCTGATTTCAGGTCGCCTGGGACGGGGCTGTAAGTTGGCCTTTATGTTGCATTTCAATCATGGCGAGAACAATGGTGATTGATGGCTGACAGCGTTCATCTTTTTCTACAACAAGGTATGATAACTTGCAAAAGTACAACCTCCCCTACCCCGAAGCAGTCTTTGATGTTGACTTTTACCGAAAGAATCCAAACCCTTTTGTTCATTGGCAAAGGAGATCTGGCCTGGAATGATCCA